TAATGTGAGTATAGGGAGAGTAGTAGGAAGTGGGAGTTTGTAAACAGCACGCAAATAGTAGTGGAAATGCTCGAAGTCTCTCTGGGTAGTGTTGAAAGGAATAGACCAAGGAAAAGGACTTTGAACATGTCTGCTCCTCTAGGCTGGGAGGAGCCAGCAGGGAAGATAAATATTAATAAGTAAGCTCACTCTTTTAACAGTGATGATGATGATATGGGAGATAATTCCATTTCTTTCCTCTGCTCTCCTTTCCTTCCTTCCTCTTGTGTTTTTTTTCCTTTTCTTCACTCCTTCCTTCCCTCTGTCTTTCCCTCAATCTTTAATGACCCTGTTTTTTATTAATTCCAATTCCCACAAATGTCTATTAAGGGCCTAAGTGAAATTTTAGCTTACCTTGCCTAGAACCAGGCCTTCTTTTTCCTGGCCAACAGCTCCAAACTATGTCATCTCAATTCTAGTCTTCATCCCCACCAGAAACTTGGACTAGGTTCCTCCTCTTTGGAGGTCTTCAAGAAGAGACTGGTGGCCACTTGTTAGATATAAAGGGGTCCCTTTTGTGTATTCCTTTTTCCATAGTGAGTCTAATTCATAAGAACTATCATGGACTCTGATAAGTGAGTTTTCATCTTATATTGACTGAAACCAGGTTTCCTCCTCACTTCCCTGGCACCAACTTCTAAACTTGATCCTCCTACCCCACACCAGATATCTGGTTCTCCTTTATGTATTTTTTTTCCCCATTAGAATGTAAGTTCACTGAGGCCAGGGACTGTCTTACTTTCTTGCATTTGCATCCCTGGTGCCAGGCACATAGTAAGTGTTTATTAATTGTTTTATCTAGATATCTACAAGGATTATGAATAGTAACACAAAATGGAGAAGTCTCTGTTTTCGAGTAGCTTACATTCTTCTTAGGAGAGGGGCATAGAAAGGAGGCAGGATACAATCAATCCACATATAAGTGAATATAAGGTGGTTTGAGGAAGGAAGGAATCTTTACAACAGGGCTGATCAGGAAAGACTTTCCTACAAGATAGCTCTTGAGTTGAACCTTGTGGGAAGGTGTCCTTAGTACCTATGTCTGAACGGTGGAGCCTATTACATCCTATGGATATATAACAGCACTTCAGGAGCCCTGTTTTCAGGGAGGGAGTAGAACATGAGACAGGAATATTCTGCTTTTTGTGTTTGGGGTTTTCCCCATAAGGTCCTTTATGCATTACTCTGTAGAAAAGCCATAAAAGGAACATAAAGAATATGGAAGAGCAGAATAAGATGTTGACTCAATGTACCTTCTGCATCTAATGAATGAAAAAAAGGCCTGTGCAAATATGGTTTGGATTTTATAGCTCTCTGTTAAATTTTTTCAATATCCATTGATGGGTCCTGTGACAAACACACTGAAATATAAACCAAACAGTAAGAACTTGTTCTGATTACCAAATAAAGAGACAATTGAACAATGACATTTGTGATTTATTGTAGGGTTTTCTTTCCTGGCACTCATTTTTGTGGGGAGGTGATTTCTGTTTATGTTCATCAAGAGAACTGCCCAGGCTCCCACCAGTCTTTCCCATGGATGCTGAAGAGTTTGTTTATTTTTGTATAATAACTTCAACGTAGTGTGTGATTTCAGCTGAGTTGACTATATTGTACGACATTGTCAGAAATTTATATTTAGAAACTATTTTTGCACAGTCTGTTTTGTGAGAAGAAAAAAAGGGGGAAAGAAAGAAAATAATTCCAAGTTGCTTTTGCAGGGTACCATAAGAGGGAGCTGGGATTCAGCACATGCCAGTCAAGTTGAACTTCTACCATTCTTGACCACCATCTCATCTTAAACCTCTATGGTTTCCATCTAGGCCTCAACCCAGGAGTCTAGGGAATAACAATACCCTCTAAACCACCAGATCTGCTTCCAGTCTACTCCCTGCAGTAGTCAATGAGGGGTGAGATCATTATGCAGAAAGGCCCTGACTTCCTCGTCACTACTAGTAACAACTGCTGAATAAATACAACTAACAGGTAGATGAACTTAAGAATCCTGGAAACAGAGTCACCTTCCAGATGAAAGGCCTGCTTCTAGACCAGTCATCATCTGGAGAGATGGCTCCTGTAGAGAAGGGGCCAGCCATCCCCATCAGCTACTGACCAACTACCAGTGCTTGGCACTGGGCCCAGCACATAGTAAGTGCTTAATGAATGTTTATTGATTGACTAACGGTGCCAATCACAGGGCAGATGAAGCAGCTTAGCTAAAGCAACAAAGCACCTTGAGACAGGACGGGGAAGGTAGCGTTTTACTTCCTGGGATCTTAATTATCTTTCCTATGAATTCTTTAAAATACGCTTTCTCAAAAATTAAAGTGCATTTCTATGCCCAGATTTCTTCTGCTTCTCTATCACAAAGACTAGGATATAATAATTTCCTTTCAAAGTTCCCATCATTTCCATTCTAGAAACTAGTTCTTCACTGTTTATCATGAATCAGATTCAGAACAAAATTTCCCTTGTCGATTCCTCTACTTTTTGAAGGGTAAAATTATCTAAGGTGAATTAAGAAGTTATTACCTGCTCGGCTTTTGAGAGAGAGAGAGGGAGACACACACACACACGCACAGAGAGAGACAGACAGACAGACAGAGACAGAGACAGAGAGGGAGACAGAGAGAGAGAGAGGGAGGGACAGAGAGACAGAGAGACAGAGAGACAGAGAGAGAGAGAGAGAGAGAGACAGAGACAGAGAGAGAGAGCTCTAGCAGATAATTGGATAATTGGGGTTGCAATCACAATTATGCCTCTGTACCATAAAGGATCTTTTCCCAAAATTCCTCATCTATTTCCTCTTTCTGTAAAGGAAGTCTATTGTATACTTCAATGACAAAATTATTTGTGTCTCGCTACTTTGAACTTCAAGAAAATATTCTCTGTAATGCTTCCCCCTCCGATTTCCTCACTTGAGTATTTCTTCTTCATGTACAATGCCACTCTCTTTTTATTTATTTATTTTTATTTTTTAGGCAATTGGGTCACACAGCTACTAAGTGTCAAGTGTTTAGTCTGAGGCCGGATTTGAACTCAGGTCCTCCTGACTTCAGGGCTGGTACTCTATCCACTGCGCCACCTCGCTGCCCCACTCCCTTTTTATTTACCCTTTTTCTTTTGAAAGTCACACAGGATGAGCAGAGATGGAGAGATTGTACTCTAGATCATCCACCACATTACATTATGACCTTTCCTCCCAAATCTCACCTTCTAAACTTCCCTGTTGCTGTCAAGGTCATGCAGGCTCACAACCTAGGCACCATCCTCAACTCCTTCCTCTCCTTCATGCCACATATCCATTCAGTTTTCAAATTGTGTGTTTTCTACCTCCACATTATCTCCTGCATCTATTTTCCTCTTTCTACTCCTACAGCCATTGCTTTAGTTAGGACTTTCATCACTTCTCACCTAGACAAAGCCTCCTAAATTGCTTCTCTGCCTCAAGTCTCCCCTTAACACACACATCTGTCAAAGTGATTTTCCTGAATCCTAGGTCTGATAAGTCACTCCCCAGTGATTCCTTACTGACTCAAAGATCAAATATTATTTCATCTTCATCTCATCTTTTTCAATTTAAATTTCTGTATATTATAACATATATTGAATACAGTAATCATAATAATAACTAGCATTTATATGGCACTTTAAAGTATGCAAAATGCTTTACAGATAGTATCTCATTTTATCCTCACAACCCACTCTGGTCTTCCTGGCTTTAAGGACAGTGCTCTATCCACAAGCATCCTTGGCTTCCTAAAAGTGAGCAGAGCACTGGTGTCCAAGGATCTTGGTTGAAACTACACCTTTACCTGTGAGATATCTGCAAGTCATTTAGGCTTTCCAGGACCTCAGTGTCCTCATCAGTTAAACCAGGAAGTTAGATAACATCTGGGCACACCTTCCAGTTCTAGATTTATAATTCTATAAGTTTGGCTCATATATATGTAGCCTTATTCTCAGGGCCTCTCCATTCACTTTTGTAGTTTGGGGAGGAAAACAGCATATGTCTGTAATGCAATTTCACTGTCAATGACAGAAATCCTCTAATGATTGATGGACTCCTTCTCTAGGGACATAGACTTCATGGACCACTTACCTTATTCTTTCTCTAATCCACTGGGGGGATTGAAAAGTCTTATAGAAGTTTCAAACAGGGAAATAACCATTCTTGTGACTATTTTTTAAAAAACAATCTTTATTTTATGCTTCTTAGCATAGATTTAAATAGCATTGGGAAATGCACATTTTGAATCCTATATCAAAACTGTTTTGCTGTTGTTTTTGTTGGTTATTCTTGTGTTCTGAACCAGTGTAATAAACTGCTAGTTATAGGCCAGTCATGGAATAAAGACCCTAGTTTGAAAACCACACATCTCCCATACTTGAATACTAGGCAGTGTTTTACATATATTCTCTGGCAGCTATTATCTCAAGCTACAGATGGAGAACTGAGGCATCAAGTGGTAATACATCATTGCAGTAGTTCCAAACTGGTGTGATAAATGATAGGCCTGGAGCATAGTACTGATAAGGTTTCCCAAATTCTCTCTCCCAATTCATTACTTACTATAAAAATCTCTCTAAAGGTGCCTTCGGACATTTTCCTTTGTCGAAAAAAAAAAGACAAATAATAACGGTAATAAAAAGCATCATGTTGATGAACATGATGATATATGTGGTAAAATGCCTGGCACATAGTAGGCACTTAAAAAATGTTTTTGGAATAGCATTGAATATATGGAGAGAATGAAAAGCAATGGAATCATCTGGGAAGCTCAAACTGGTCAGTAAGTCATAGTCAATTGTCAACTTAAATACAGTATATGACCAATAGAAATGACCTTACCTCAACACAGAGACTTGTAAGCAGATGCTCTTTATCCCTAGTTTCAATGGTTCTAAAGTGAAATATCAAGGATCTTGAGGTTTCTATTTCTTATGAACAACACTAACAATAATGTTGAAAATAGATTACATTTATGTAGCACTTATGGTTTGCAACATCCTTCACCAGTCGGTAAGCTTTACTATGTGACCACTTATGATACATTACATGTAGTTTAATATTATTTTTTCAACTACCAAGATCTGTAACTGACATACATACATAAAACAGTGGGTATTTCATACTGAGTTTTGCAATGACCTTCTTTAATATTAAAAAAAAAATGGAAAGATTTGAAGCAAATGCTTTGATACTGAACTACCAGCATCCAATAAGATAAACATAAGCAAGCAGACTGACTGGGCTGTGTTTTGCTGATAACTAAATACAGAATTACTTAGAAAATCCTTTCAGGAATAAATATTTTATACAAATGAATTTGTACAGTTCCAGTTTTTCCATTCTATGTATGTTAACTATCTATTGAGTTTGTGTCTTTTAAAAGATGTTTATTTGACTTCAATTGCAACAAACAATAAACAACTTGAGGTGGGGGTGGCGCAGGATATGTAAATATACTAAATAATTAATTCCAAATCCTGTACTGAGAGCAGTTTATATCAAAGAAGTTGTATGTACTACACAGAGACAGCAAAATATGTTCATTTGTTAACCCTGTTTAAATTAGGTTAAATAAGCATGGAAAAAGAGTGGACTAAATACTAACACATGGTCTGTAGGGATGCCAAGACTTAATACAGAGAATTTCCTTAACAGACTTTGCACAAGCATATACTACTGCTCTTTGATGCCCCCTCGTAGGAGTCAAATATCGAACTGCAAAATCAGTTTACGTAGAACAATGGGGACATCTTGAGGTCATTCTGGAAAATGTTCTTGTTTTCATTTCAAAACATGGCCTGCACACAGGTTTTAGCTGATAAAATAGTGTGTCCCAAACTAAATAACAGACTTAATTAAAATTGGTTTTCCCTCTGAGGTAATAAAAGATAGTTCATAAGTTACCCTCTTTTAAGATAACATTTTCACTTGAAGTTTTTCTCCTTAAAACAAAACAGAACCAAACAAAAACTGATGAAGAAAGCCCATTAGTTAATAGCAGAAAAATGTTTTGAATAAGCATTTGACTATACAAAGGATTTTGTAAAAAATATATAAAATAAATTTCCCTAGGATTAAAAAATACTGTGGTCACCAGTTCCATGAATTCCATGGATCCATGGATTTCAAACAGACTTTTGTTCCTTTTCTACCCCTTGAAGACAGAAAAATGAAAGAAAGTCAAAGGCTTCATTAACAATGCCCTAGATCCATGTACTTCCCTAGGCACTTTCTGTTAGGGTTGGATTTGTGGGACCATTTGAAGAGCTTTCAGTCTCTTTAGTACCATCTGTGGTCTTTGATTCTTCATCCTTTCTGCTTTTTTGTTGGGGTTTATCCAGATCACCAGATGAGCTAACACAGTTAGCATCCTGATTTGGTGTGTCCACTTCATTGTCAAATTCAATTTTATCTTGTGGATGGCTGCTTTTCTTTACTTGTCCATTCTGGGCAGGGTAAGTGTTTGCAATGATATCATACAGGAACTGGTACTGTTCCTTTAAATTAAAAAAAAAAGGAAAGAAGAAATTGGAGAAAAGAAAGATGATGCAATTATTTTGGTGCAATATAAAAATTGATAGTAGATAAACTCAATAAACAGCCGGAAGTCATGGAAGCAGAAAGCTACATAAAGATTAGGAAGACCTTTCTGAACTTCTTGGGTTTAGAACTACTTCAAAGGCTGAGTCACAGTATGAACTCAATAGAATATTATTATGCTGTATAGAATGAGAATGACAGCTCTAAGGAAATCAGAGAAAGATGGAACAAGTCATATGACCTGGTGCCAAATAAAGAAAGAAGATCTAGGAGAATGACATACACAACTACAATAATGCAATTGGAGATGACAAGAGGGGATTATAGATCTCAAATCAAATGCAATAATCAATAGTGGTTCCAGATGGCTGGTGCCAGAACACACTTTCTCTGCAGAATATTATAGTCACTAGTTGAAAAAGCTTTACTTAACTGCTTCTTTGAAAAAGGAGTGTACCTATGGGGGAATTACTGGGGAAGGGAAGGGAGCCAGGCTTTGTGTGTGGTCCTTTACAAATGTCTCGTTCTATCCCCATAATAACCCTGTGAGGTAGGTGACCATATGGCCCCCATTTTACAATTAAGGAAACTGAGGCAGAGTTTAAGTGATTTTCCCAAAGGTCATAGACCTAGTTAAGTGCCAAGACCAGATATGAACTCAGATATTCCTGACTCCAGACCCAGCTCTCTATCTACAGCACCACTTAACTGCCTCTAATTACTGGGAAGTAATTGGATATAAAAACAAAATGTGTTAAATGTGAACTCCTTGACATCAGGGAATGTTTTTTGCCTTTCTTTGTATGCCCAGGGCTTAGCATAGGGCTAGGCACATAGTAGGCACTTAGGTTCAGGCATTAGTTGGATGCTTATGAATCTCTTTCATAAGTAGTGATCCTATGCAGGTAGGTATACGTGGCCTTACTAGAATATTCTTGGTTATAGGACAGTATTAAGAAATGTACAGGTATGTCTTCAAATGCTAAAAGCACCTCATTACAAAGTAATTAGCTTTGTCTCAGCACAGACTTCTAGAGGAACATTACAGGAAGGTTTCATTATGCACCAAGGACCAAACTCTAAATCTAGCTTATTTTCTCTCAGGGTGCAAAATAAATTATACAAATCCTAAATTAGTTTATCAATCACTTAATAATGTGGTGAATTTTCACCTAATTAAGTATTCTTTATCTACAAGTCCTAACTTCTCCTCTCTTTCTCTGTCAATCTCTGTCTCTGTCTCTCTATCTCTCTCTTTCCCCCCAATTCATATATATACATGCACAACAGGGTGTCCCAAAAGTCTTAGTAGTTTTAAGCTATTAGCATTTAATTTGTTAAGTTTTATATATAAATACATGTGCATGTGAAATATGTATGTACGCTATACATATATACATTTATAAATATATATTATACATAGATATATGATATATACATACTACATGTATGCTATCAGTTTCTAATTATTGAGCTAGGCACAATTGTTGATCTAATTTCTCCACAGCAGGGGTTCTTAAATTTTTTTTTTGTGATGTGGACCCCTTTGGCAGTCTGGTAAAGCCTATGGACCCATTCTCAGAATAAAGTTTTTTTGTCTACATTCATAAGGAAACATAACTTCCAATTTGTGGTTAGTGAAAGTCATAATTTATTTTTTCCATCCAAGTTCATAGACCCACAGAAATCTACTTCAGGGGTGCATGTGCCCCAGGTGAAGAACCCCTACCATGCAGAAAGAAAAACAGAGAAAGAGAAACAAAGAGAGAAGTAGAGACCTGTTTAAATAGAAGAACAACAACAACAACAAATGTTCAAATTCCTCATAAGATTTACTTACAAAAGATGAAACCATTTCTGGCCTGGCTCTGCGCAGAGATTTCACTACTTGAAAAACATCGATTACATCTTCTGTATCTGCAGAGTCCAGAAGATTGAACAAAGCACAAAATGTTCCTGTTTTTTGGGATCCATCCCTACAAAAAGGAAAAAGGAACTTAAATTACAGTTTTACAGAGAAAGAGAATGTCATGGGAATGAGGTTGCCAGAGTCCATAATTTAAATCACATTTAACAATGTAGTCTTGTCAACACTAACGGATTTTTCAAAAATAAATTATATATTTTTTTTAAAAAAAAGATTAATTTGTGATCACATCAACAGCCAAAGTATTTTACTCAGCTAAAAGAAACAATTATTTTTATAGCTATCTAGACTGCCAAATATGTGTGTGCGTGTGTGTGTATGCGCACGAGTGTATACTTGTGTGTTTTCACTGATAAGTTCAGTGGGGAAAAATCTACCAGCAGAAATTATTAAGTAGGTCAGGTCAACTTAAGTGTTTGCCAAAGTTTGTGTATTGTCCAAAGATCTGCAGCAAAGAAAATATAATAAACTTTTACCCCCCAAAGGGAAAAACCCTATTATAATCTAAATAAGAACCACCAGTAATGCAGGAAGTTTAGTGGCAAATAAATATGCATAGTCTTTTTTACAAAACGATTCTTTCACAGTCATAAAAACAATCCTCCTTTACTATTTATCTTCATATCATTTTTATCTTTAAAACTCAGGGGCAGCTAGGTGGCACAATGGATAGCACACTGGCCCTGAAGTCAGGAAGATCTGAGTTCAAATCTTACCTCAGACACTTACTATGGGATCCTGGGCAAGTCGCTTAATCCCAATTGCCTCCCCAATAAAAAAAAATAGAACCCAACCTCATCCTTTGGCTTCCCCTGTATTCTTCCTCTGTTACTCCACTTCTAATCCTCTACTCTGGGTCACCCCAATCATTTTCTTCCTCTGTTCCTCCTCTAAAGCACTAGAATAATCCTGTAGGAAGTTGTGAAACCTTGGTTGACTATATTTACCAATAATCCATGTGCCATAATTTCAAGTAGGACCTCATGAAGGGCTCTGTGAAACATTCTCTATGGTGCCTATTCCAAACTTCTTTTCCCAAGCCCCAAGCTGTCCTCTTCTCTTTCAGCAAAATACCTTGCTTCATATTTTACTGTTGTGAGTAAAGTTATCACCATGATAGAATGAATGGAGCTTTGATCTAGGATGAAGAATTTAGACAGCAGTGACATCAATTGTTCTCCTCTAACAAAGAAAGCTGTTGCTGTATAGCCCACTGGTTACTGGGTCAGGATGGAGACTAGTGAGACTGTGACAGCTCCCCCATAATGGGGGAGCTGTATGGATGTGGGCCAGCCTTCAAGAAGAGAACAGATATGATCTGTGGCTGGTGGAACTCAACTTAGGGGATCCTAGGGATAAGGAAGAAGGTCTGGTTCTGGTTCCTGGGAGGTGATTTCTTAGTGCCAAAGTGACCTCTGGCTGACTCCTAAGACAGAAAAGGAAGATAGCACAGATACAGGTACCTAGTACAATCTACTAAAGGCTAGGGGTTGGGGGGGTGTGGGAGTGGAAAATCTCAGGTCTCTACTTTCAGAGGAAATTGTTAGGTTGATCTCTCTAGGGTGGGTGATTTGGACTCAGAAAATACCATGGAAACATAGAAAGCCTCTCTTCCTTTTCAATGTTCATCCTAAATTTTGAGAATAGGGGCCAAAAAATACTTGGGAAAGGACGGTGAGCAAGCTTTGGCCAGATGCGCAAAAGCCAAATTTCAGCAAACTGGCTAGTAGAGAACTGGACCAGGAGTCCTGGGTTATCGCCCCTATGCTTAGGCTAAGCGTATTTTCTCCTCTATAAAATGAGGGATTTGGACAAAATTTTGACTCTCTAAAATAATTTCTGTCATGACATTTTGAGGGTTTGGGGAAGTAGGAACTTAAAATCCTCCTTCAGCTCCCTCCTCAACACCATCCATCAGTTTTCTTCACTCCTACCTCCCGTAATAATTGTGCTTCCTGTAGAAGGGGCATAAGCTGACTTCTGAGAAATGCAGTGGCTGATTTAGATTATGTTAATCAGTGGGAGAGCTGTCTAAAGCATACTTCTGCTCAGAATTGTAACAATGACTGAAGTAGTTAGTCTGACTCAGAATTCTTAGATAGCAGCTATTCATTTTTGAATGCAATAAGTGAATGGGTAAATGCAGAACACAGTAAGTTTCACTGATCTGGATACAAAGAACCAAAGGATTAGAGATATTCTTTATTTAGTTGTTGAGTCAGTAAGTATTCATTAAGTGCCTAATATGTGCCTGGCACTGCACTAAACTCTGAAATACAGAGAAAGAAAAAAAAAGGCTCAGATATCAAGGACCTCATAGTCTAATGGGAGAAATGATAGGTATTAACAATATAGATATACAGGATAATATTGGGGATAACCCACAGAGGTAAGTTATTATCATTAAACGAAATTAGAAAAGGCTTCTTGTAGAAGGTGGCATTTTAGCTGGGACTTAAAAATAACCAGGAGAGAGAAATGGAGAGGGAGGGAATTGAAGGCATAGATCAAAGCCAGTGAAAATGTATGGAATCTAAAGATGGTCTATCTTAGAAAAAAGTAAGGAGATCAGTGCCACTGAATCTCAGACTACATGGGAGAGAAAGGAAGCAATAAGGGTTAGAAGACTGGAAAGTAGGAATAGGCCAGGTTATGAAAGGCTTTGAACACCACATTTTACATTTGATCTTAGGAGGTAATAAGAAGTCCTGGATTGAATTATTGAATTGTAGGGGTGGGGAGGGAGTGTGTGATGTAGTCAGACCTGTGCTTTAGGAAGACCAATTTGACAGCAGAATGGAGAATGCGCTGGAGTAGGGAGAAGCTTAAGGCATGAAGACAACCATCAGACTGTTGAAACAAATGTATATGAGGTGATGAGAGCCTACACCAAGTGGCAGTGTCAGAGGAGTGATGTTGTGAAGGTAGAATCAACAGGACTTAATAATTTTTTTTATATGAGGGAATGAAGGAGAGCAAAGCATTGAGGATGACACTTATGTTGAAGTCTGGATGACTAGAAGGATGATGGTACCTTCAATGGTAATACAGTTGATGGGAAATGAAGAAGGAATGATGGGAAAGATAATAAGTTCAGTTTTGGACATGCTGAAATTAAAATGTCTATGAGACATCTGGCTCAAGATGTCTAATAGGCAGTTGGGGAGAAGAGTTGGTCAGGAGAGAGATTAAGGCTAGATAAGTAGATTTGATAATCATCAGCATAGAGATGACAATTGAATCCATGGGAGCTGATGAGGACACCAGGTGAAAGAGCATAGAGGGAGAAAAGAAGAGGGTACAGGACAGAACCTTGGGGGGCACCCACAGTAAATGTGCATGACCCAGAGGAAGATCTAGTAAAGGAAACTGAGCAGGAGGAGAACTAGAAGAGAGTAGTCACAGAAATCTAAAGGGAAGAGAGTGTCAAGGAGAAGAGGTTGATTGACAGTGACAAAGGCTACAGAGAGGTCAAGAAGAATGAGGACTGAAAAAAGACCATTAGATGTGGCAATTAAGAGATAACTGGCAACTTAGGTGAGAGCAGTTCCAGATGAATGTTGAGGTTAGAAGCCAGACTGTAGAGCGTTGAGAAGAAATGAAATGGAAACATTTACCATTAGTGGCCTTCTTAAGGAGTTTAGATATAATAGGGAAGAGAGATATGGGACAATAGCTAGGAAGAAATGGATAAATGAGAATTGGGTTTTGTTTTTGTTTTTGTTTTTGTTTTTGAAGATGAGAGATATATGGGCTTGTTTGCAGTTAGTAGGGAAACAGCCAAAAGATAGAAAAAGACTGAAGATTAGTGAGAAAGTAGACATGATGGGGCATCTCCTGGAAAAGATAGGCTGGAATAGGATCACTTATGCATGTGGAGGGAGTGACCTTGGCAAGGTGAAGGGCCACCTCTTAAGGTGAGACAGGTGCGATGATAGTGGAAGAAGGCATTTGAGTTATAAGAGATGAGGAGGTAAGAACAGGAAGATCTCAGAGAATGGCATAGACTTTTTTTTAGTGAAATATAAGGATTAGTACTTAGCTGAGAGGGTTGGGAGAGGGAGGGACACATAACAAGTTTGATATAGGGTCAAAACATTTTTGGAAGTACTGCCAGGGGCAAAACCAAGATGGTAGAGTAGAGGAAGTACTACAGCTAAATTCTCCCAACATTTCCTTCCAAACAACTTTAAAATAATGCATCAAATCAAATTCTAGAGCAGCAAAGCCAACAAAAAAATCAGGATTAGACCTTTTTCTAACCCAGTACAACTGAGGAGGTTAGAAGGAGGGGTCTGTGACACCAGGGTGAGTGCTAGCCCAGAACATATGCAGCAGCAGCAGGAGCAGCAGGGGGCCTTGGAGGCAGCTTCAACAAACACAGTAGCAAACAGCAGAAGGAGGAGTTTTGGGAGATCTCATCTAAGAGATAGTAAGGGGATTGGTCAACTGGTCAAAAGACATTACAGGAGGTCATTATTCTGGTACTGATTACAGAACCTGGTTATTTAGAACTTCAATGCCCATATGCAATTTCAGGTCACATTTCTAAGGTAGAGAGGAATATTTGAGACTTCAAGGGAGGAGGGGCCTTGGTCTCAGTTCCAGGACAGAGAGGAACATTAGCATTTACAGCTATAGGATAACAGGGGCCCTTCCTGGATAAAGACCATAGTACAGACCAGGAGAAAAGTGAATGTACCACTCCCCAGATCACACCACCTTGGAAGCAAAAACTTACAGACCCTCAGAATTAAGTCTGAAAACAGCAGTACAAAAAATACCTGAAGCTTGGGATAATTTCCCTTAACCCTTGATGATCAGAGTCTAACTTTAACATGAAATTCAAAGTTAAGAAATGGACTTGAAATATTAGCAAAATAATAAAAAAAGAACCTGCCCATAAAAACTACTATGTTGACAGGGAAAATCAAAACACAAACTCAGAAGAAGACAACAATGTGAAAACAGCTCAAAAGCTTGAAGGAAAATGCAAATTGGATACAAGCCCAACAAGAATTCCTAGAAGAGCTAAAGAAAAGGATGAGTAATAGAGGAAAAACTTGGAAACAAAATGAGAGTAATGCAAGAAAATTATGAAAAGAGAATTAATAGCTTGATAAAAGAGATACAAAAAATACTGAAGAAATAACATCTCAAAAAAGTTGGCCAGATGGAAAAAGAGATACAAAATTTCATTAAAGAAAACAGCTCCTTAAAAATTAAAATTGGGCAAGTGGGAATTAGAGTCCACAAGACATCAAGAAGCAATAAAACAAAGTAAAAAAAAAAAGAATGTGAAATTTCTCATCAGAAAAACAATTGACCTGGAAAATATATCAAGGAGAGATAATTATCAGATATAGGAAAGGAAGTTGTGATTAAAAAAAAGAGCCTATACATTATATTGCAAGAAATTACACAAGAAAACTGCCCTGATATCGTAGAACTAGAGGGCACAATAGATACCAAAAGAATCTGCCAATCACCTTCTCAAAGAAATATCAAAATGCAAACTCTCAGGAACATCATAGCCAAATTCTAGAGGTCCAAAGACAAGGAGAAAATATTACAAGAAACCGGAAAGGTATCATTTAAATATTGTGGAATCACAGCAAGAATCACATAAGATTTAGCAGCTTCCATGATAAAGGGGTAGAGGGCTTAGAATATGATATTGTAGAAGGCAAAAGAGCAAGGATTATAACCAAGAATTACCTACCCAGCAAAACTGAGTATTATCCTTCAAGGGGGAAAATGGATATTTAAATAAAATAGAGGACTTCTCAAGTGTTCCTGATGAAAAAACTAGAGATGAATAAAATATTTGACATTCAAACACAAGAATCAAGAGAAGCATGAAAAAGTAAATATGAAAAAGAAATTAAAAGGGGATTAACAAGGTTAAACTGTTTACATTCCTATATGGAAATATGATATATGTAACTCCTATGAACTTTCTCATTATTAGGGTAGTTAAAAGTAGCATTCATAGACAGAGGGCATGGGTATGAGTCAATTATATTGGGATGATCTGAAAAAAATGATAGGGTACAAAAAAGGATGCACTGAGAGAAAGGGGGGAGGACAGCAAGAATGGGGGAAATGATCTCATGTAGCAGGAAAACTATGTATTGATAAAAGCTACCATAGATAATGAAGTATATCAGTACTAATACCCCAAAGCATAGCATCCAAATTATTAAAAGAAAAAGTTAAATGTTACAGAAGGAAATAGTAAAATGATACTAGTAGGTGACTAACTTTCCCTCTGAGAACTAGATAAATTTAACCATAAAATAAATAAGAAAGAAGTTAAGGAGATGAATTGGATTTCAGAAAAGTTAATATGATAAGCCTCTGGAGAAAATTGAATTGGAATAGAAAGGAGTTAGACATAAAGGATGATATAATAAACAAATTAGGAGAGCATGGAAAATTTTACCTTTCAGGTCTATGGATATGGGGAGTGTTTGTGATCAAACAAGAGACAGGGGGCATCACAGGAAGTATAATGAATAATTTTGATCCTATGAAATTAAAAATGTTTTTTTCACAAACAAAACAAGTGCAGTCAAAAAGCAGAAAAGCAGGAAACTAGGGGGAATTTGTACAATAAGTTTCTCCGATAAAGGCCTCATCTTTCAAATATATAGGGAACTGAGTCAAATTTATAAAAATAAGAGCCATTCTCCAAATGATAAATGGTCAAAGGATATGAACAGGCAATTTTCTAAAGAAAAAAAAAATCAAAGCTATGTGTAGTCAAATGAAAAAATGCTCTCCATCACTATTGAATAGAGAAATACAAATTTGAATAACTCTCACACCACACACATCAGATTGGCTAACATGATAGAAAAGGAAAATGACAGTTGTTAGAGGGGATGTCAAAAAATAGGGACACTAATATACTAATAATATGTAATATTATATATATATAATATTATATATAATGATGTATAATTGATGGAATTGTAAACTGTTCAAACCATTCTGGAGAACAATGGGAAGCTATGCCCAGAGGGCAATGAAACTATGCATAACCTTTGACCTAACAATAAGTCTATGTCCCAAAGAAGTAAAGGAAGAAGAAGCGAAGAGACAAAGAAAAAAGACTGATTTGTACAAAATATTTATAGCATCTCTTTTTGTGATAGCAAAGAATTGGAAATTAAGAGGATGCACATCAACTGGAGAATGGCTGAACAAATTGTGGTATATAATTGTGATGGATTGTTATTGTGCTATAAGAAATGATGAGGGGAATGGTTTTAGAAAAACCCAGGAAGACCTATATGAATTGATGTAAAGTTAGCAGAACCAGAAGATTACTGTTTGCAGTAACAGCAATATTGTGAAGATGATCAGCTGTGAAATATTTTGCTAGTTTTATCAATACAATGATCCAAAACAATTCTAAGGATTAATAGTGAAAAATGCTATCCACCTCCAGAGAGAGAACTGATGAACTACTAGTAAAAACTGAAGCATGCTTTTTCACTTTCTTTATTTTTCTTGCTTTTTTTAAACAATATGACTAATATAAAATATGTTTTGCATTATTTCACATGCATAATTGATATCATATTGGTTGTCATCTCAATGGGTAGGAGAGGAGCTGGAGGGAGGATGACAATTTGGAACTCAAAACATTAAAATGGAGTATTAAAAATAAATAGAAATTAAAAAATAGAATATAATGCAAAATGAAATAAAATTATTTTCTTCCTTTCAAAAAAGAAAAAAAAAAGAATGAAAAACTGCCACGGTGAGTGGGGTAGTGAACTCATTAGCCAGCACAAAAATAGTTAACTAATATAAAGGTGTAAAAGAATTGACTCGCCATAGTGGGGGTCCAGTTGAGATATTTATAATATAAATTTGTAGTAGATTCAGCACAGTTCTATGATTTTTTTCACCAGGTTCTTTCAACTTCATGTCAGTAGGTATGAAGGCAGTGGTGAGTGGAAGTAATACAGTGCTGAGGCTTAGCACAGGAAAATCAGCAATGTAAGAAGAAAACAAGGGATTCAAGAGAAGAGGACAGGAAAGAGTTGAGCTGGTTAGCAGCCTAGGAGTAAAGATGGGGAAAGGAAGGTGTGTAGCCAGTGAAGTCATGATGGACCAGAAAAGAATTGAGAGATTAGCAATAATAGTGAGGATAAAGAAAAGGATTTGGGGTTGCGAAGAAGAGGATGAAGTAGAACACAATATGCTTCAGTGATTTGGATATGAAGAATTAAAGAATTAGATACCTTTTTTTAGGTTAATTACTAGGGAAATAGGAATAACAGGACTTTCCTGTGATTATGAGACAAATGTAATTTATTTAAGCATAGACAGAGGGAGAAAATTTAGTTACTAGCCATAAGTTATAGTGAATTAATTCACAAAAAGGACCCAGAGTTTAAATTCAGAAAGGTAAAAGAGAGAAGTAAAAAGACAGATTTCAGAATTGTGTTAAAGAGAGAAGTGTGAATTCTTTCTTTACCACATATGCTCTCTATGTGTGAACTCTATTCTCCCTGGTTTCTGTATGTACTGATGAAAGGCTTTGGGGATGCAATATTTTGTACCAACCAGTTTTAATATAACATCATAGTAAGTCCCGCTTTCTAAAAGTTAATTTAGTCTGGCTGATTAATTGATATCAGCTGACAATTGGGAGAGAGAACTCTGGTTGGGGCTTTTTAACTATAGCACCATAAAACACTACACCCCATCTGGTTCTCCTAGAAACTCAAGGGAATAAGAAGAAACCTCTCAGGACTCAACCTGCCAGTGCAAATGGGTGTTGGGAGAATAGTTCCAGAGCATGTGCTACCTTGCAGATTGTGAGTTTCTTGAGTGCAGGGACTATCTTTTGCCTTTTTGTGTATCCCCAGCATCTAGTACCGTGCTTGGCATAATAGTAAGTGCTTAATAAATATTTGTTGGCTGATTATTAAGCCTTTCACATTGTAACTTACCCCTTTGATTTTAAGGTCTTGGAGGTTGGAGATTCGATCCTTTTTTTTTTTCAATCATCCTATCCCTATCATCTCTCAGAGTACTAGTATGTACATAGTATGCACTTAAATATTTGTTGAGTGAATTCATAAATATTATGTAAAACTTGTGTTATACCTATGCTATTTTCTTATTTTTTGTTTGTTTGTTTTTTGCTAGGCAATGGGGTTAAGTGACTTGCCCAGGGTCACACAGCTAGTAAGTGTCAAATGTCTGAGGCCAGATTTGAACTTAGGTCTTCCTGACTACAGGACAGGTGCTCTATCCACTGTGCCACCTAGCTGCCCCCATATGCTATTTTCTTAATAAATCAAGATGAATGGAATTTGGTGAAAATGATGATCAATGTGGCAAATGTGAATGTGAATATGAATCTGATGCTCATTCATTCTTACCTGCAGTGAACAAGAAGAGATGCCGTCTTGTGATGTTTTTGTCCTTCAGTGCCATGTTTCTTTGGAAGTTTTTCTTTGAAGTTTCGAATCATAGAAACTAATTCTTTGGGTTGGGTGGGAAGGTCTTCCCCTTTCCAGTTGTTATACTGATACTGATAAACTGTTCGGGCATCTTTCCTCTAAAAACCAGATGTCATGGAAATGTTATTAACTCAAGTGATAATTCAGCATACCTTTCATTCTGATAATCATCTATCTCATATCTATCTTTGTAATCAGAAATACTTTCTCTTAAGTATTTTACAAATTATGTTTTCAAATATTACAGAACTGTAGCTACCATGGGGTTCTTATCTTCAGTTAAACCAACAGTAGTAAATTAAATCTATCCAAATAAATCCGCCACTTCACTTAATTTTTATACCTTTGCATGTCTCAGTTCAAATACACGAATGGTGTAAGCTGTAGATCTGTTCATGTCTTTCATTTCTACTTCCACATCTTCATATTTTTGCTTTCCATCTCCCCAGTACTGAGCACAGACTTCCTAGGTTTGGGAGAATATGTTAGTACTTACATTCTTAATGTATATTCTAATTGATACCAAAAGCACAGAGAGTATGTACACATTAAGAAGTGATTAAAAATTAAAAATACAAAGAAAGGCAAAAATAGTCTCCGTCCACAAGGAGTTCACAATCTAATGGGAGAAACAACATAAAAACAATTAAGTACAAGCAAAAGAAATTAAGGAGAAAATGGAGAAAATCTTAGAGGGAAGGTATTAGCATTATGGGAGATCAGGAAATCTTCATAGAAAAAGTGAGATTTTAAATGAAACTTGAAAGAAGCCAAAGAAAAACAGGAGGTAAAGATGAAGAGGGAGAGAATTCCAGGCATGGAAGAGAGTCCTGAAAATTCAGGGAGTTGGGAGGTTCATTCTCTTGTGAGAGGAAATACAAGGAGGTCAGTGTCACTTGGTTGTAGAATATATTAAAGGAAGTAACATGTAAGAAAACTGGAAGGATAGGAAAGAGACAGGTTATAATGGATAAAAGCCAGGTAGAGGGTTTTATATTTTATCCTGAGGATAAGAGAGAGCCACTGAAGTTAATTGAATGAGAAAGATAACAAAATCAGAAGTTAATTTAGGAATATTATTTTGATAGCTTAATGGAGGATGGACTAGAGTGGAAAGAGACTTGAAGTAAGGAGGCTATAGTCTAGGCATTAGGTGATAGGGCATTCATGAGGGTAGTGGCAATATCAGAGGAGATGATGGGCATAGATGAAAGATGTTGCAAAGGTGAAATTAATGGGACTTGGTCACACATTGGATATGGAGTAGAGAGTGATAGAAAGGGAGGGGTCCAGGATGACACCTATGTTGTGAGTCTGGGAAGATGGTGATACCGTTGATAGTAATGGAGAAGCAAAGAGGAGGAGATAACATGGGAGGAGTTCATTTTGGGACATGATGAGTTTAAAACAAAGAGATATGAAAAAAATTTTAATAATGGAACAGGAGTTTGGAACTAGAGAAATATAAGAGTCATCCACAAAGTGATAAAAGTTAAAATTATGGGAGTAGAAATTGATATTGACTCCCTTAAGACCTCCTATAAAGTCCATCTTGATTTGTGGATGGCAATCAGGAAAGGGTGTAGCAGAGGCAGAGGACAAACCTGCTCCCCATCTTTCAGCTCTGTCAGCATTACAATAACTTTGACTTTTCTTTGAAAAACCATTTGCCAGAAGTCAGCAATTGTCTCCTTTAGTGGCCCTTGGGTGGCAATCATCACTTCAGGTTTCCAGTAGGTCTAAAAAAAAACCCACAGTATCCTTGGTTAATACTAAATAAAGACATATTCTTTAAAATAAGCAATTGGTAATATAATTAATTGATACAAACAATATGATGTCAAGAGAATGATGGTATGAGGAAAATTTTAAAGACACTGATTTGATTTTACTTTAGAGGGCAATACATTCTCCCTAACATTGATTACAACAGTTAAGCCATATCTGGCATATGGATAGAATTGTTCAATTCCTTTCTTCCTCCTTATGGTCCTTCCTCCAACCTTCCTTCCTCCCTCCCTCTCTTCCATCTTTCCTTCCTTCACTGGGTCTTCTCATCTCACCAAGGATGGATGAGCAGGAGCTACTTACAGGACTGATCCCACTTCTGGTCAACATGGGTTCTTTGACCTACTCTGTTTCCAGCCTATTCTGGCTTGTCTCCCCATAGGCAGTCCAGTACCCCCCTTTCACCTTCCTATCCACACTTAGTGGCTTACCTTATTGATTCCAGATGTAGTTAGAACAGTTTGTAGCTCACTGAAGCTTAGATCTCCTGAGCTTAAGAGATCATAAGAATCAGCATCCCTGGTAGCTGGATTTATAGGTTTGTACCACCCTGCCCAACCCAGTAATTTTCTTTATAGCAAGCAGGGTGACTGGTGAAGACTGAGGAAATATTTCAGATGAGCTTCCAGTATAGGTAGCTGGATCTAAAATTCCCCAGAATGATTTCAGTCCTTTTCTCCACTGGGGAGCTACAGCATTCAATACTCAAAAACTGATTGAACTCAGTAATAACTCTCACCTTTTAAAATTGACTTATTAGAAACAACACTTAAAATCATTATAAAAACCAAATATGGTTAATAACTACATTTAATTTAATCCCCTTCGAATCATAAAGCATAAAACTAGTTTCCCATTCCCACCAAATCTCCATTGTTTCCTTGCCTATTCTTTCTCACACATCTTCCCTTATGTTACTAGTAGTGTATATTACATTCTTTCTCTGCTTTTTATTTTTGTTGTTTGTGTTGATTTTTCCTTGATGAAACTCTTGACTTCTAACAATAATAAATAGTAACAAAACCTTCATTGAATTCATTCTGTAAAGTTTGATCAAAATATACAGAAGTGATTTTGGGTTCTTAATGACTTTGCCCAGAGAGTATAAAGGCTGGAGTGTCCTAGTAGGTTGGAAAGGCATTAAGGATGGACCCATTGATGGACTGTTTGTCTATCATCAGAAGAATAGCTTGGATGAGTTAAATCACTTTCTTCTCTAAAATATTGGCTTACATGGGTGAAAATGAATTTTTTTTTTTAGTGAGGCAATTGGGGTTAAGTGACTTGCCCAAGGTCACACAGCTAGTACGTGTCAAGTGTTTGGTCTGAGGCCGAATTTGAACTCTGGTCCTCCTGACTTCAGGGCTGGTGCTCTATCCACTGCGCTACCTGGCTGCCCCAAAGATGAATTTTTCAACCACAGAAACTAAAGAAGACTTTCACCAGCTGGTCCTATTTAATACACCATGAGTGATCTGCAAATGCTGATTTAAGGAAAGATGACTAAATCATGTTCTGGGCCAAGTCTAGCTCAGACCAGACTGGTGATTCAGGCTCATGGCTGCAACTCAGTGAAACCCTGATGAACCATAAAATGCAATAAAAATAATTTTACTTATAATAGTGGATTTAAGAGAATATAATTACTACAAATAGACAGTGTTCTCCCCCAGATTCCTCATTCATCAGAGGAGCAATTTGGAGTCAGACAGACTCAGCAGGGAAGTGGAATTCTGCTAAATCTCCTGGGGACCAATTCCTCATAGGTTGGCCTCTTTATGCCTCATGTAACAAGGATGCTGCACCAATAGTTCATGCCCCACCAAATCTCTAGTATAGCCTTCTTGCTTCCTTAAAGGGAAACCATCTCAGTCTATGAAAAACAAATGATGTTTCTTCCTGTGAACCACCTCGGGTGATAAATTAAAATGAGATGTTTCTTTGAGTCCAAGAGCCCCACAAAACCATGTAAATCAAGAGGTTCAAATTTGAGTCCACTTCAAAAATGCCCATGCCCAAGCTATCAAAGGCATGTGTATCAGAAAAGCTACCTTATAATCAAAATATGTCACATTGAAGAAACAGTGTTTTCTTTTCTGTAGATTCAAAGGTGAAGTTGGCAGATATGCCTGGGCAAAGTAGTGGAGCAGTACTCAAAGCTAATGCCCCCTCCAAAAAAAAAAAAAGCTTGTCAAGTTCTTGCTGCAAGTGCTCAAAAGATTCAGAATGTAATGCAGAACTTAAGTAAGGGTTGGGATGTAAATTCTCTCATCAATGAGCATATTTAGGTCAACAAGACTTCTACAATATGAAGGTGTACTTAAAGGGCTTCTGGCCAAATTAATTTATGCATGAGTTCCCTTGTCATATTGAGATGATACTTAACAGAAAAGGAATCCCTCAACCAAAGAAGAGGGTGCCCCAAAGAAAAAGATATATCAAAAGAAACTAAAGAAACAAAAACTCATAGACCAGGAATATTCATGACATTTACGTGCAAATAAAAGTGAAATTAAAACATTTGTTTTATTAGAGCAAAGGAATTTTTTTAAAATAAAAAACTAATATTTCTACCAAAAAGTTTCAGGCCCACTGGGTGAAAACATTTTAGCTAAATCATTTCAAACTTGAATTCCTAAAATCTACTTTTATTTGCAATTTCTGCTACATGGGACAGGAAAAGAGATAATGATAGAATAATAAGAAAGCTGACCTTGGAGCCAGGAAGGTCCAGGTTAAAGGCTTACCTCTGACACATAATGGCTGACTGACCTTGGGGAAGTCAAAAATTTCTCAGTGCTCTAGATATCTCACTAAGCCTAATTACAGAGAAGGTCCTGATCTATATTGGAAGAAAGAAATTCCTCAATGGGGAGTTTCTTGCAGCAATGAAATCACAGGCCTGATCTCTATCCCTATTTTATGTTCACATACCTTATAAGGTAATATGATTGACGTGGTAATATACATAATTTGCCTGAAAATTTCAAAACAAAATGTGTTGCTTTTCTCCTCATTCTAATTAGAATTGTTTTCCTTCTGTGTGTGTGCGTGTGTGCGTGTGTGTGTGTGTGTGTGTGTGTGTGTGTGTACGTGCACGTGTGAGTGTTTCTTCAGGTGATTTTTGCCTTTTTTGTTTTTGTTCTGGACCTGTGCTTTCATTGTTTTGGATAATTCCTCCACTGAGGAAAGATTAGGAACTCTTCCACAATTAAGAGCCTGAAGAAGTTGTCTGGGGTACCTAGAGGTTAAGGGACTTGCTCATGACCAGTCAGTATATGTCTAAGCAGGATCTGAACCCAAGTCTTCTAAACACTTCACTTATTATTGTTGTTCAGTCATGTCTGATTCTTCGTGACCTAATTTGGGGATTTCTTGGCAAAGATACTGGAGTGATTTGTCAATTCCTTCTCTAGCTCATTTTACAGGTGAGGAAACTGAGACAAACAGGGTCAAGTGACTTGCCCAGGGTCACACAGCTAGTACGTGTCTGAGGCCAGATTTGAACTCAGGATGATGAATCTTCCTGACTCCAGGCCAGCATTCTATCTAGTACACCACTTAGCTGCCCTTAACACTACACTACTATATAATGTACCATAATCTTGAAGTGCTTAAAAATTAAAAAAACACCAAATCCTATCAATTTGTCCTTTCCCCATCACAGTATGATGATGATGATGATGATGATGATGATGATGATGATGATAACAACTAGCATTTATATAGCACCTACTCTGTGCCAGGCACTATACTAAACACTTACAAATATTACCTCATTCGATCCTCTCACAGCCTGGGGAGGTAGGTGCTGTTATTATCTCCATTTTATAGTTGAGGAAACTAAGGCAAACGTTGGTTAGGTGACTTGCCCAGGGTCACACAGATAAGTGGATGAAGCAGATTTGAATCCAGGTTTTCCTGACCCCAGGCAGAGTGCTTTATCCACTATGCCACATGCTTTTCGCACCTTGTTCTTCTCATTGAGGTACATTTCCCTTCATAATTTATGTTAAGATTCTGAAAATCATATAGATTCTCTTCACTCTAGCAGTGCTCAATATGATTAGAGCTAGATAGGAAAACCTGTAGAGCTTCATTCCCTCAAGCTAAAGAACAACTTTTTATATAAAATCAAGGTAAGGAAAGAAATCTTTTGAATAGTGTCTGGGGTGGAAGGGAGGGGTATTTTTTAGAATGAGGACAACATATAACTACATAGATTTTGGTTTCAATTAATAGTGAAATAAAAAGATTAACTAAATTTTTAAGTGGTTGAGCAGCTAGGTGGTGCTAGAGCACTGGACTTGAAATCAGGAAGACTCATCTTTATGAGTTCAAATCCAATCTCAAGGCATTTATTAGCTGTGCGACCTTGGGCAAATCACTTAACCCTCTTTGGCTCAGTTTCTTCATCTGGAAAAATGACCTGGAGAAGAAAAAAAGGCAAACCATTCCAGTATCTTTGCCAAGAAAATCCCAAAAGAGATCATGAAGAGTTGGATGTGACTGAACAACAACAAGAAAACTTCAAAGTGACATGTTGTTTCCTAATATAACACATAAGGTTGGTTAACCTCATTATTTCATCCTAAATGGCTTCAACAAATATTCTGATAACATGCTGATACACTTGAAAATATGTGTGTGCTAGAATTGTGGCACATTTAAAATATTTGTTTTAAATATCAAATATTTAAATATATTTTCAATATTTAAATAAGTACTTAAAATACGTACTGTTATGAAAGAAGCATTGATGTATTTGCTTGGCTCATCAGTGTCACTATCATCATCAGATGATTCTTCTGAATCATGTTCACTCTCTTTGCTGGTCTCCAATTCATGTTTCAGAAGCACTCTGTTAAAGTCATCTATGTAATACAAAATAGGCAGATGTGTTATTGTTGTGCTCAGGGCCCCAAGACCCTCTTTGCCAATAAGCATCTGAAATGTGGAAATAATTAGTGCAGAGATACATAGCAAACATTTAAGATATTGACTTCTATAGCACTACAACATGAGAAGCCATATTTCATTGGTCATTAATTATTTAAAAATCATAATGTACCCTAAAAATTGACTAAGATAGGGACAAAACATCACATTTTACATCATGCCAAGAAATAGACACTATTCTCTATAAAACTGACTAATGGAATTCCAGAGTCTTTCAACCTTAAAACACACTTTTGGGCTTTGCTTCAGTGGTTATTCTACTTCATTCTTTTTACAAATTTATAGCTAAAAGGGACAATGGAGATTATTGAGTTCAAAGCCCCTCCCATAGTTTACAGATAAGGAAGCATGATCACAGAAAGTTTAAGTGACTTGTCCAGGGTCACCCAGCTAGTAAGTGTCTCAATATCTAAATAAATATTAGATCATCTTCTTGAGTCAAGTCCCATGCTCTATCCACTATACTACAGTTTCTCCTCTTCTTAAATAAAATATTTTTACAAATTTGAAACTGAACTTTTTGTCAATTATATGGCTAACTAAACAATTAAATAATTATATTTTATGTTCCTAATATGTGCCTTTAACCAGCCCTTCTAGCTATCAGATCATATATTAAATTAATATTTACTTTTAACAAATTATTAAAGATTTCTTTCATATTCCCATGACATAAATTAGTAAATTATTAATTTCCCCCCATTTCCTACTAGATTTATCTGGTCCTAGGCCTGCCAATGCTTTTGTTTCTTTGTCTCCCCTCCCTTGTTCCCTTTTCCAGCTCTGTAAGCACAAATTAATACTGCTCCTGGAAAGGGCACATCAATCAACTCTTCTATATCTCCACTCTCCATCCCCATGATTTCCCAAATAAAAATATTCCTACCTGACTGCCACTCCTCTATACCATGTTTTCCCTTGTTAAAATGCAAACTTTTTGAAGGCAGAAAGTGTCTCACCTTTGTATTTTTATCCTCAGTACTTAGCATAGTGCTTAGCAGATAATAAATAGCAAATATACATATATATATGCTATTAGTTAGCTTTTATTCCCATGCAACTCAAATTAATATGTATTATTTTGGTCAAATATTTTCTTCTTAATTTTTTATGACCCTACTTCTAGTCACCTAGAGCACTAGTTGGAGTGCTGGGCCTGAAGTCATGAAGATTCATCTTAGTGATTTCAAATCTGGCGTCAGACACTTACTAGCTGTGTGACCCCGGGCAAGTCACCTACCCTGTTTGCTTCAGTTTCCTCATATGTAAAATGAGCTGGAGAAGGAAATGGCAAACCACTCCAGTATCCTTACCAAGAAACTCCCAAATGAGGTCATGAAAAGTCAGATGCTACTGGAAAATGACTGAACAATATCAAATAATATATAAAGAATCCTCCAGTGGTTTCTCATTACCCAAAATGGAGGAAAAAAGAGGGGGCTAGGATGGATCGAGGATTAGATTTTCTCTGTATTTTACAAGAAACTGTATTTTACAAAGAACTCAACAACTGAAAGAAACTGGATAAGTGGGGCTAGACCTTTTGCTCTAAACTGCCTTGCAATTCACCTCTTCTTGTGAGTCAACAAACACTGATTAAGTGCTTATTATGGGCTAGGAAGGTTCTAAGTGCTGGGAATACAAGGAAGAAGAAAAAAAATCTGTACCCTCTTGGAGCTGCTCCCTTCTTCAGTGAATGGTAATTTCAAAATCATACCATTGCTAACAGCCAGCTAGTCCACTGAGACTAGCTTCAATTTAAAAAAAACCTCTTAACTTCAAAATGAATTGCTATAAAAGAACATATTTACCTTGAGGTGAAGTGATGCTATCAAAGAGCTGACTCTAAAAAAATCTTTTATTCCTAGAATGAATCCAGACAATCTGAGCATCAAGTCAATAGTGTATATATGTAACATTAGTTTTGAAAAGGATAGACATTAAGAAAATACTCACATGGAATAATCTTGGAATTCCTATTTTTGCTTTTATTTTCTTCTTGATTTCCAGTGTGCTGGGACCTCCAGTTCCTATATGAGGGAAGTCTCTGAAAAAAAGACAAAGAAAATATATACATTTGGGAATATCTATTGATCCCAAAATTTATTAGAAAATCTATTTCTGCAATACAGTTATCCCTTCCACATCATGGAGGTTAGGGATGTGGTATCCCCTTGATCTGGAAAATTCTCGTAAAAATTTTTGGCCCTCCCTCTGTACCAGGGAGGAAGTCTGAATTATTATGGTATTAAGAGATAAAATATGTTGATATTTTACAATACATATATTTTATGCATTTCTTAGTTTCTAAACTTTTCTTCTGTGTCATATACTGGCCTTCTTGTGTCATCTGTGGCTTCAGCAAAACCCCCAAAAAATTCCCATTCGATTTCTTATGCCAACCCACAATACATCAAAACCATGATGGGGAAAGTTGTGATGAGGAAGTTGTGGTGGGGAAGTTGTGATGAGTATATGAAGCTAATCTAGGAAAATTTAGATTGGGCAGATCTAATGGAATCTTTATGTAACACCTCTAAGATTATTGTGTATATATGTGTGTGTTTCTGTCTTCCTCCGAAAAAGTTCCCTGTTAAGTTCTTGATCATGTAGCCATTCTCTTGAGAGGGAAGTGAAAGAAGTGAGGACTTCTACAGTGTTTTACTCTGCTTTTCCTACTCAAGAGATAGTGGCCAGGGTCAAGGTGGTATTTTATCCCCCATTTATGAATAAGAAATATAGAGATTTTATTTCATGGTTTAGCATCAAGATAGTACTTTTAAACATTGAAGTACTTGGGATAACTTTCCCAGTTTGAGGAGCTCTCTGAGATAAATAGTACTAATCTGTGATAGTCTGTCTTTCCTCTAGAAATGTTCTTTCTTCTTCCCTTAATATAGTAAGCTCCTTGAGGGCAGATATTGTTTGAGTTTGATATTTATATGTTCAGTGCTTATCATAATGTCATAATAGTAGGTACTTAATAAATACTTCTTGATTGGTTGTCTCTTCTGAAAACTTCCATACCCTATACTTGTTTTTGCTTTGTAGTATACCCCTGTCATCATATGTGGGAAATAAATTGGACACACCTGAGTGAGAATTCACCACCTGGCTATAAAACCTTTGACTTTCACTGCCTCCCCAAGCTGCCCTTTGTGTGAAGGAGACAGACATCCAAAGATACCTCATACTAGGAAGAAAAGCAGAGAGCTTGGCAAAACCTGTGTGTGCCAAGTTCAAGGGTAGACCCACATCTCTCCTTCTGCCAGGAACAGCAAACCACTACCCTCATTAAAAGTCTGGTGATCCCTCCTGGGGACAGGATGGCTCCCACTCCAGCCACTGAGATACAAATGTATCCTGTCTTTCCTTGGCCCTTCCCCTAGGGATCTTATCTGAGGCTTTGGACCTTCCTTTGTGTGAGTTCAGATGAATCATAATGAATGACTATTTCTTTATACATTACTGGCCTGCCTGACTTTTGTGAAAATTTCCTCCAAAGCTCCAAATTGCTGCTATGGATTGGGGCAGTGCTATATAAATGTGAACTATCATTATTGTTACTGTTATTCTTATATAGCTAGGTGGCACAGAGGAGCGCAGGACTTGGAGCCTAAAAGGCTTGATTTAGAATGCTGCCTCATGGGGGCAGCTAGGTGGTACAGTGGATAGAGCATCGGCCCTGGAGTCAGGAGGACCTGAGTTCAAATCTGGCCTCAGACACATGATATTCACTAGCTGTGTGACCCTGGGCAAGTCATTTAACCCCTATTGCCTCACAAAAAAAAAATAGAATCCTGCCTCAGTTATTTTGTAGCTATATGACCAGTGACCAGTCACTACCTCTTAGCTTCAATTTCCTCATCTGTAAAATGGGGATAATAATGGAACCCCCTTCACAGGGTGGTTTGTGAGGAACAAATGTGAAAACTTATGTAAAGCACTTTGTCAAACTTAAAGAGCTCTATAAATGCTGGCTATCAGTATTATTATGACATTCCTATACATATTATATGTGTGCATACATATACCCATGTCTGTATATATTCACATATAGACATACATGTGTCTCTCTCTGTATATATGTATATGAACATAAATAAAATTTTTAAGTGCCTACTATGTGCCAGGTATTGTGACAAGTGTTGGGGACACAAAAAGAGATAAAAGACTGTTGTTGATCTCAAGAAGCTTACAATCTAAATGGAGAGACAACATGCAAACATATGTATGTGTACACACACAAAACAAGCTATATACAGAATAAATAGGAAATAGCAGAGATAAAGCATTAGAATTAAGAGCAATTGGAGAAAGCTTCCTATATAAGGTAAGATTTCAGTTGAAACTTAAAGGAAGCATAGAATGGCACTCTTTATGTGTGTATTTGTATATTGGTACCTCGATACGTTATTCAACTTGTGTCTGTCTGCCAGAGATGCTCAAATTTCCTGAGAAGCAACAAAGTTCTGACAAGAGACAAATATATGCAACTTCCTTAAAGTGAGAGATGGAATACAGGGATTAAGATTGGCATTTGACCAGCTAGTTGAAATGTGACATGACTATTTTGACCCATAATCCTTTATTGGATGTCAGGGTGGTGTATAGTATGATCATTATATTTACCTGGAATTCTGCCTCCAGTGGGGAAGGCTCACTGGGTGGATCCTTCTTTTTCATGTTATTTAGATAGGAATGTAACTCTAGCATGCCCACTTCAGTTTCTCCAAACTGATTATACTCCACCAAAGCCTGATGGATCAGGATGTACTGTGCCTGATGTTTCAAAGACAATATAAGTAGTTAATACATATTTGTTTATATGTTTGCTCATACATACACATTTATGACACATATTGTTCAAACATTATAGAAATATTAGTAAAATAGTAACCCCTTATAGTTCTGCTGATACTATTCCAAATAAATGTGCTAAATCTGATGCTGCTTAAAATTAGTCATACCATAGACATATGAGATTGCTATTCATTTACTAGTATATCTGCTTAGAAAAAGAGATTCTATTTAGTACAGCCTACATTTTATATTCTACTCATCCTTCCTCCAAGTTTTTGGAATATGTTTACAGGAATGTGATTTACAGATAAATCTGTCCACAATCTCTTGGGTTACACCATTCTGATTTGCTGAAGACAACTGTGGAACTGATTGAAGTGTAGAGAAAATAACATCCTCCTCAAAATTTTGGTGGCATCTAGCCACAAGTTGAGTATATCATACAGAGCAGATACTTAATAAATGGTTTTGAATCAATGATGGATTGAATGGCATCCAAGCAGATTGCTGTAAACCGTGATTTGTGCTGTGACTTCCAAAGAATCTGAAAGATAAACACTTTCAACCTCTTGCAGCCTTGAAGACTATTTTTGAGATCCTCCTATGTTCACATTAATCCTAGCAAAAATATTTGCATCATCATTAAATACTGAAAACATACCTCCACTTGAACCATTAGACATCTCTGTCGCCGAAGCTTAACAACATAGCCATAAACATCCACTTGGTTTTCAGCCTCTAGTCCTTCCAGCATAGCATCAATTCCAATGTAGGTACCTGTACGGCCAACACCAGCACTGAAAAAAGTGGGAAAACATGAAAACTTCCAGGCGACAATAATGACTTCAGAGTGATACTAAAGGGAAAAGAATTGGAGTTTACAGCATGAAAAAGAATACAATTTTCTCATTGTTGATTTTCTTCCTCACTTAGTCATTTTTAAAGGAGAAAGCCATATACGTGTTTTAAGATGTTGAGTTCTGGGTGGCCATCTGGTGACCATTCCTGGAGTCACTTACCTGCAATGGACAACAATGGGACCGCTGAAAAAGTTGCTGAAGGCATTAACTCTTCGACGCAACTTGAGGAGCAAGTGAGGATCATCTGGGACCCCATGGTCAGGCCAACTGGTGAACTGAATGTGTGTCACGTCTCTTCCAGTTGTTTTCTCCCTTTTCTAATCAAGACAAGGTATTTTTATTGAGATAATTTTTCTTAAAGAAAATTTTACCTATATAAATAATAGAAAGGGGAAAGAAATATATGTATATATATATATTTAGATAGATAGATAAAGCTATAGGTATCACTATTGATAGGCAAAGAGACAAGAAGGATATAGAGTTTGAAATATTTAAATCTTCATACAAATGTAAAACATTTAGTTATAGGATACAGAAATTCCTTTAATTTTTCTGGCATAATCTGTTTTCTACATAGTGATTGGGTAATGAAACATACTCAAGAGTAACATGAATTTACTTGTTAAGTGGAGCTACAAAGCCTAAAGAATTTTCATACTGTCATGCCAAAGAAAAGGTAAAAATTTTATGAAATATACTGATATTTATCACTTCTCTAAATATTGTTGCCTTGTAGGCCAGTGAATGGGTCTATTTAGCATATAAGAATCAGATTCCTCTGAACATGCAACTATTTACTCCCTAAGAGGTAAGCTGCCTCTTGATGATTAGTGAGGACATTTGAAAACACCCACTTGAGACGCAATAATGTAGAGCTGAGGCAAATCAGCCTCTGATTACTCCTCAGTTTTGTCTTGATTTCTGCATAACCATTAGTGGATGCAGGAAAAGTGTCAATTTTATACCCAGGTATGAATTCAGATATCTTTTGATTGACAGGACACAGTATTGGAGAGAGAGAGAGAGACAGAGATAAAGACACAGGGACTGAGAGACACAGAGAGACACAGAGAGAGAGATGAGGAAGAAGAAGAAGAAGAAGAAGAAGAAGAAGAAGAGGAAGAAGAGGAAGAAGAAGAAGAAAGAAAGAAAGAAAGAAAGAAAGAAAGAAAGAAAGAAAGAAAGAAAGAAAGAGAAAGAAAGAAAGTAATTGTCATTGCTTGTTAGTAGGTGACTACTAAAACATTCCAAAGCATACTCAAATATACTGAATCTAATAATAATAATACTAAAACATGCAATGCGATTGCATGCTAATAGTTTTTGCCCATAGCTATTTATTGCGTAACTTAGCTGTGAGCCATCAAATATGAAATTTAACCAACAAAAACCTTTAGAAGAGTCCTAATCATGCATTTCTTTATGATCCACTGGCTTTGATTCACAATGAAATAAAGAAATGAAAGCCTTAGATGTAGTAAGCCAAAGGGCTTCTTTTTGGGAGGAAGATTCTCTGCATATCATAAGAAGCAATTTCAGGCAACACAAAGTACTTCTACAAATTAAACTCTATAAAATTTTCAGCTGCTGCATTTAGCTTTCTGCCTTCGCCTCTTGCCTTCCAAGATGTATTCTCCTTGAAAGCAGGGGCCATTTTTATGTTTTTCTTTGTATACCCAGAGCTTAGCACAGTGCCTCTGGCACACAATAAGCGTTTAGTTAATGTGTGTTGACTATTTTTCCATCCTAAATCTATCTCTTCCTTCCCTGAAAAGTCATATCTAGAATTTTTTACACTGAGACTCATTGGCATAAAAATGCCTTAAATTCATTGGGAGGTGGAGGAATCACAGAGACATGCAGCAAAGACCTGGGTTGGTAAAAGACTATTGAGGAAATTGGGTAAGGGGAGAGGGAGGTGACCTGAGCCTTAGAGTTCACTTGGATAGCATATGTTGGAGAAGCAGAGAGAAGCACTTTTGTTAGTTTTCTGGTTTAATTAATTATTCTTGCTAAGTAGGTGCTCAGGTCAGTTGTTTTTATACTGCTGCCATTATTCTTTAAATTTGACATCCTGAGACAAAGCTCCACTTGCCCCTCCTATCAAGCTCTTCATCCTTGAACTCTAATTACTTTGTAAAGGTTGAACATAAATTAGTACTTTATATCTTTACATGGGCTCTTCCATAATTGTTCATACTGTTTTCCTCCCAAAAGAGTACAAATTCCTGAGGGCATAAATGATGGCTTTTTCTTCCTCCTTTGAACATCCTAGCTATATAAATATTCATAAATTCATAGACAGGTGCTTCTTTGATCAGTGGTTCAATATGACTCTGCCCTCTTGTGAAACTACACTAACAAGGTATCCTAGCCCACCCATTGTTTATAAAGGCTGGGAAAATATAGTCCCAACCCAAATATTTTATTTTCCTTAAGCACAACTAATACTCAGTAGCAGCCTTTCCCCCCAAATGATTGACAAATGTTATGCAACAGAAATTAACTTACATTTGTAACATTCAGTTTCTGAACAATGTAGTCTGGACACACTTTGTGCTCATGTATCTTTACAATAACATCTCCATAAATGTGAGTGCCCTCTTCCATTGTTGGCCAGTATTCTGCACACTTGTTCTATAAACATCAAAGTTATCAAATAAATACATTTTTTTCTTAATAACTTTCTTCTTCAGTTAACAAAGCTTTAAATTGAGATTCCTAAAACTCAAGTATTATTATGTTACAAGTCACTTACCCACCACTCATATAGCTTCAATAACTCCCTACTGATTCTAGAATAAAACACAAAATCCTCAGCCTGACTTGTAAAACTCTCCATAATATGATTCCCACTTACCTCTCCTCTCTTAGGTAGAATCATAGATTTAGCTCTGTATGGGAACTTAAAAATCATTTATCTTAATTGTTTCACTTTGTAGATGAGCCAACAAATTCAGAGAGGTGACTTCTCCTGAGTTACATAGCTACAAAGTAGCAGAAGTAGGAATTTGAACTCAGGTCCTCTGATTAAAAAAATCCCGCTTGATTTTTCTCAACACTATGTGGCCCCATTTCATATTACTCTCCTGCACACAGTCATGGCCTGCAAGCTCTTTCTCATATATAATATCCTTCTTCTCATCCTTGTGTTTTTGAACAGGCCTTCTTCTATGTCTGAAAAGCACCTACTCCTCATCTCTATCCTGCCCTTCAGAGATTTCTATGCCAGCTCCAACAGGAGCTCTCACCCCATCCCACAACAGTTGTAAGTTCTTCCTACCTCTTGAAATTACTTTGATTTAATTTTGAATTTATGTGTTTTTATGCTTACTGCATTCCCTATTCCCCTCTCCCTCCAAAAAAAATAAGAATGTATACTCCTTGAGGGCAGGCTCTATTCAATAACACACAAAACAGGTATTTAGTAAAAGTATGTTGAATTGAATTTTTATTCCTATATAATTTTAATCCAGTTAAGTATTTACATAACCTTTTTTTTTTGTCTTTTTTAGGCAGTTGGGGTTAAGTGACTTGCCCAGAGTCACACAGCTAGTAGGTGTCAAGTGTTTGGTTGGAGGCCGAATTTGAACTCAGGTCCTCCTGACTTCAGGGTCGGTGCTCTATCCACTGCATCACCTAGCTGCCCCTACATAACCTTTTAAAAACATTTCTATACATTAACCTGTGGTCTTTGAGGGTTATTCTATGACAGAGTTTGATTAAACAAATCAATGGAACCTCATTTCCCTCTCCAAGGTTTATTCATTATTGTTGCTCCCATATCTTTCTATCTCTTATTATTCAATACAGGGATGCTTTTCAACAGGAGTGTTTGTATTAAAATGGGATCATAGGGAGAGAAAGAAGTAGCTGTTACCATAAATGGATGATTCACTAATGGAATAATTTCAGGCATTGATAAAGAATACATGTAGGGGTAAGGAACCTGCCTCATACCTGAAATCATACCTCCTAGTTACTATCTACTCTGCTTAAGTCTGTCCTTGGTTGCATAATTAATTTTGTAAAACATCATAATGAAGTAGGTGAGATGGTAACTTACTCAACATATCCTACTATTGAAAGGAAAATAGTAAAAGAATGGAGTTCTAATAAATAGAAAAATTTAAATAGAAAAAAATTAGTTATACATGCTAAAATGTCGTATACAAAAAGGAAGCACTTAAATTTTACATACATGCATACATACACACACACACACACACACACACACACACACACATATATATATATATATATATACTCAATATATGTGATAGTTTAGCTCTTAATGATAATATTAACCATGCATAGCTCTGGGTTTTGTTCCAGAGCTCTGATCTCAGAGCTGTAAGGACTTACAGAAAGGGAACTTTCTTCACTGATTCATAAAGATAAATCTGTACTCAGAGTAGAGAGAGTTTACTGGGGGCATAAATGGATTAAATATTTTGCTCATTATCACTCAGCAATTATGTGTCAGAGGCAGGACTCGAATCCAGGTCTTTTTTCATGATTTTAAGGCTTTATCATGATCACATACATACATACATGTCTACATAATAGACCAGACCTGTGATTTCACTGTTGTCTCTTAGAACATTTGACTTCCTTGAAGACTCAGCTCAAATGCTACTTTTTATATGAAGACTTTCAGGATCATTCCAAATGCTAGTGCCTTCCCTACCCAAATTAACTTTTTTTTTTCATTTTGTATGTATTATATTTATACTTATATAAATAAGTGGTGGTCCTCCAAAGGAAAGTAAGCTCCTTGAGAGAAGGGACTGTTTTACCTTCGTATTTGTACAATTGGTGCTTAATGCATGAATCATCTTATTCCAACATAGATTTCCTCTGAAACTTAAAGTCTTTAAAATTCATTCATTCATTGATATACTCATCCATCCATGTGTTCATTCATATATATATTAATCTATCCATCCAACCATCTATTCATTCATTCACTTATTCGGTTATATATTCATTCATCCATCTATTCATTCATTAATTCTTTTATATATTTATCCATAGGTTCATTTACCCATTTATTCTTTTTTTTTAGTTAGTTTGTTTTTAAGTGTATTTCTCTCTATCTTGCCTAGGCTGGGACTACTCATGGGCTTTATCCTACTCTTATCAACATGGGAATTTGGACCTTCTACAACATTTGTGATCTGGGCTGGTTTATTCCTGTTTAGGCAACCAGGTGACATCCTGCTCCTGGAGGTTCACCATATTAATGTTACACTTAGAGTGGACATCCAATTGGCATAGCCCATGGTAGCTCAGAACCCCTAGCTCAGGAGATTCACCAGCCTCAGACTCCTTGGTAGATGGAATTACAGGAATATATCACCACTCCTAGCTGTAACTTTCAAAATGTACTTCCAGAGAAGGAAACTCTTTCTACCAATGCATGTCAGTGCCTTCTCTCTAACTTAAATTTTTAGAAAATTGCCTAGAGCACTGAGACAGTCACCACTTTACTCAGGGGCGTACAGCCACTATGTGTCAGATATGGGCCTAGAACCCAGTTCTTGGCTTTGAGGGCAGCTCTCTATCAATTATATAACATTGTGTCTCTGGAGGTAGATACTACAGATATTATTATCCTCATTTTAAATAAAAGGAAACCAAGGTACAGAGAGTATCAGTGGTTTTCTCAGGGCCACAGAGCTAGTCAGCCTAAGAGGTGGGATTCAAAATCGTGTCCTCCTGCCTCTAGGGTCAGTATACTCTCTACTCTACCATGCCGCCTCATCTTGGTCAGTGTCCTTCCCCACAAGATCTCTCCTCTCATCCACTCCCAGATCCCATAACATTATGAAGCTCTCACCCGGTTTCCTTCTTCACAGCGAGTCACCATGACAATAATAGTTACTTTCTGTTCCCAGATCATCCTCCAGAAATCATCAACAGTTTCTTCTCTGGGACCTAGTAGGTAAAGACGCATTGACTGATAAGGTTTTCCCATCCCGTCTAGTGATGATTGATGATGGTGAGAATTGGTATAGTGCTTCAAGGTTTGCAAAGCACTTTGCATGTGGTATATAATTTGATCCTCATAACAACCCTGGGAGGTAGGCTAGTAAGTCATGTTATGTTTTATGTTATGTTATGTTATGTTATATTATGTTATGTTATGTTATGTTACATTACGTTATGTTATGTTACATTACTTTATGTTATGTTATGCCATGCCATACCATACCATATTATACCATACCATACCATACCATATTATGTTATAGTATGGTATAGTATAGTATATATTGTGTTGTGTTATGCTATGCTATGCTATGCTATGCTATATTATATTGTATTGTATTGTATTGTATTATGTTATGTTATATTATGTTATGTTACATTGTTATATTATGTTGTGTTGTGTTACGTTATGTTATATTATATACAACATAATATATAACATAATATATCATATCATATTATATCATATCATATCATATCATATCATATTATATTATATTATATTATATTATATTATATTATATTATATTATGCATTATCCCCATTCTACAGAACTTGTCTGAGACAGACAGAGGTTAAATGACTTGCCCAGGATCACGCAGTTAGTAAGTGTGTGAGGTAAGATTTTAGGTCAGGTCTTCTTGGCTGCAGTCGCAGGACTCAAAGCATTGTACCACCTAGCCATTCGTTAAGACACCAAGGCTTCTACAGGATGTTGCCATTTGCCCTGCCACTGTTTATGTTCTCTGTTTCAGAAACAGAAACAGCCCAGACTGGGCCTCCAGAGACCACCCCTATATTCCCTGGAGGGAGGGCCCTTAATCAACCAAATTAACTGAGTGCCAATTATGTACTGGGTACTGCACTGTATGAGGGCATAGAACCACCACAACAAAACAGTCCCAGTCCTCAAGAAGTTCATGCACCATTGAGGATCAGACAGATATCATCTACATTTCTAAGAATATATAAAATAATAGGAATATAAATTGGGACTGGCCCTGTGATTTCATTGATATAAAGAACTTGCAGGTCAGGAAGCCCCCACTAACAAAGCAGACTGGCATTCTCTGCAATTTAGTCTTTAAAATGTGCCAAGGGCTCTGAGACATTGAAAACCTAAAAGCATAAGTGTTGTTGTTGTTGTTGTTGTTGTTGTTGTTGTTGTGCACTTGTATCTGACTCTTTGTGACCCCATCTGGAGTTTTCTTGACAATGATACTAGAGTGATTTGCCATTTCTTTCTCTAGCTTATTTTACAGATGAGGAAGGAAGATTCTTCCTGACTCCAGGCCTAGCATTCTATCCACTGTACCACCTGGCTACCCTAAAAATGTAAGTACATGCTAATTTTAGGGGAGATGCACTAACAGCTGAGTATCTGGGAGATTGGGAAAGGGCTTATATAGAAAGTGATGCATGAGCCAAGCTTTAAAGGAAATTTTGTAGCTCTACTCTGTATCTGAACCATCCTGATTGATGTTAGTGAGTTAAAACACCTCAATTTGCCATACCTAGCCAATCACAGACTTTCCCTCTAGTAGTCTCCAAGGACATCAAAGCCTATTCAGTGCCAACATCATGCCTTGCTTGTGCATGAACTCTCCCCCAGGACCACCAGCCTTCTATCTCCTGATCATTGCTCTGGTCACAATAACCGAATCAATACCGTCGTTGCTACCAGAAAAGAAATGACAACCTACTGCCCTGTGGTTCCACTCACAATCTATATCTGTCTATCAGAATATAAGCTTCTTGAGGGCAGGACTGTGCCATCTTTATTTCTGGATCCCCAGAACTTAGCACAGTGCTTGGCACATAATAGATACTTAATACCCACATGTTGACTGATCTCCAAAAAAATTCAATATGTAAAACTAGAAAAGAAAAGGAATGAAAGATGATGAGATTACCTTGTGCAGCAATATATTTCCTTGGCTCTTTGAAACCCTGTTCAAAACATGCATAACTTAATTAGCTTTCAACAATAATCGCAGGATTAGTAGCAATAACATTAATATTAATTGACATTTTTAGAACACTTATATAACCTTAAAGTTTGGAAAGCTCTGTACATCTCATTTGAACCTCCTAACAACTGTAGGATATAGATGCTACAGGGTCATAATCCTCATTTTTCAAATAAGGAAACTGAGACTCAGAATAATTAAGCAATTTGTAGTATATACAAAAGGCAGAATTTAAACACATTCTATTGTGAACATATTTCCTTGGAATTGCAATAGAAGAGATAGAAGGTCACTTTGAACATTCCAAATCCACATTATGAATTTTTTGGATATTTTCAAATTAGGGAATTTTTCAAAGTAATAACCAAAAAGTTTAATTTTTATTTGAAAATGACATTTGTAGCCAGGGTGTATTTTGACTCTACATCATCCATCATGAAAATCAGAGCTTAAAGCTGATCTAAGATATCATCTTTATTTACCTCTGGCATATAAAACTATCCCTCCAAACTGAATACCTGACCTAGTTGAATTCTCAAGCTCAAATACCTCATCCTTTCAATACCAAGGTCTTGAAGTAGCCTGTTTAATGCCATTGTGTGAATTTCTGAACTTCTTAAATAAATAGCTAAATAGTTAAATACTGGACTCTTATTTTAATTTGATTTACCCTACACATTCTACAGAATGTGGAATTTACCAAATTTACCAAAATTACTAATGTCTTCCTTGTCACCAAATTCAACATTCTGAGCAAAGAAACCCAAGCATGAACTGTGACACATCTCAGTCCTTCATTTCCAAACCATAACAATTCTTCCTACATGAGATCTACCATATTCTCACTGCTCTCTGCCTCTTTACCACCACCACCTTACTCTACATAGTAGAATCAAAGAATTAGAACTGGAAGCAGCCTTAAAGTTCATCTCAGCTAACCCTTTTATTTCTTTAGATATTTAATCATTGCCTGGATCATTACATGTAACTTCCTAATATCAGATTTCATGTGTTCAATTAGTTATTAATTAGGTAAATATTTGTTCAGCACATAATCACTATTGAGCACAACTTCCTCCTCCCCCAAACACACAGATGCCCAAATCCATTTCCTTCGCTGCTGATGCCAAAGTACTGTCTATGCTATTTGTTTGGATTTTTATGCTGCCTAGAATAATTTTTTCCTTCCTGTCCCTCATGCCATAAAAGTGGTCTCCCCATCAATAGTAATCAAACAGTATATAAATGTCTGCCTCCATGGAGTCTTCCCTACTAAATTAGAGAAGAGATAGCATTTCTTTCAACCTGACAACCCAGTATAGGCATGACATACCTATAGAATCTTCTCAACTATGAATTTCAAATTACCTTCCACAAATAAAATGCACTTACTTCTGAGCTATGTATTATGTTTATATGTATGTGTATGTACATATATATATGTGCATATATATTTATACATATAAAACACACATACCTTATTGTACTTCTCTATGGTTCTCCGTATATCCTGCTAATATACCTACACTGATTTAGTTTTTTTTTCTTTATCTTTAAATCCTTGAAGGCAGAGCCTGCATCTATGTTAACTTTGTTACCTTTCAAAAATACACATAGGCAAGTATTTTTTAATAATGTAGATGCTCACTCTACATAATCCCATAAAGAATTCTTATAGATGCATAAATATAGGTTTCCACACAATGTATCTAATTTATTACAAATTCTATATTAGTGGAATTCAAATGCATGACATTTTTTGGAATATAATTAGAACTGTCACAACAATATTAAATTAATTTTCTGCAAGTATCCTTATGATAAGTAAAAGGAAAAGGGAAGATATTCATTACAATTCTCTGAAATGGCAAAGAGAAATAGGCAGCTGGGATATTGTTTCAACTTACATCCACATAACTTGCATTTATATAGTCTGATCCAGTATCTCCATTTATCTCAGAGAGTTCAACACGATTATAATCATCTGATTATGGTTAAAAAGAAAGAAAAGAAAAACAATCATGAAATAATAAACCACCATGTGGTGTACATAGATTTTTTTGTTTGTTTTCTTGATATTTATGTTTCATTAGTGTGCAAATCTCTATCCACTAAAATGGACAGGCAACTCATTTTATACCTTTTGGAAGCTAAAGAACTTAGAAAGTTTCCAGGGGTGCTGAATGGTTAAATGATTTACCCAGGGTCACACAGCCAACATGTAGCAGATACAAGACCTGAACCCAGATCCATCTGACTCCAGGGCTAGTCATAATCACTACATTACACTGCCTCTCAGGCTAAGTAAGCAAGTACTTACAGGGAAGGATGTCAATGTAACGGTTTTTGTTCTGGTTAAAGGGTTTGCGTGCATCTTTACTTGAAAACTTGCTGAATATCCGCGGAATGCTCTGAAAGACATAATGTTCCTTCATCTCATAACATATTCAAATAACTTCTATCAGTGACAATTGTCCTCCTGCCTAAATGAGTAGCACAATGGCAAGTTTCTCATTAAACCAGACTATAGAAAGATTTACAAATAACTTGTTTTAAGATGCTGAAGTTTTCATTTAAGGAATCACCTTGGGAGTGAGTGCCGTAACAGAAAAAGTTAGGAAATAAAATGAACTTAAAATTTCATTTCATACTTCATTTTAAAAAACAGATAAATAGTACATATTGAATGAATTTACATATATACATTACATATATTTATATATATTTGTGTCTCTTGGTAGTCATCTCTAGGGTGGGGGAAGGGAGTAGGAAAGAAAAAAAGAAAAAAATACATAACTTTATTATATATTTAAAAGGAATAGCGAGTTGTACATAATGGATTTGCAGTTTCATGTGCAATCATCTTCTATATTATACTATGGTATGGAAATGCTTGTTTTATTCCATAAATTAAAAATAAAGTAAATAAACGTGAAAAAAGGAATTAAGGAAAAAAATTCATTTGATTATTTAAATACTCCTCACAGCTAGTACCTTCTATCTGTAAATTATCTCCAGTCTATCTTGTATTTATCTTTTTTGTACGCAGTTTTTTGCATCTTGTCTTTCCCATTAGACTGAGATCCTTGAAAATAAGGACTGTCTTCTTACTTTCTTATCCTCAGCATTTAGCTGGCTCATAGTAGGCACAGAATAACTGCTTGTTAACTGATTATGCATTATGGAATTTCCAAAACAACCAAGTACAGTTTATTCCATAGTATCTAATATCAAGGCAAGTGTGACTTAACATGTTTAATACTGAATTATTCTAATACCTTATAGAGATTTTTTGGGTTGCATTTTAAAAGACACATACCTGAAATTCAGCCAGAAAAAGTCTTCCCTCATCAGCAATCTTCCTCTTATATGTTTCCAGTAACATCTCCGCAGGGATGGGCTCCACATTCATTATCTGTTTTTCATCATCTTTAAATGAAAGTTTTTGAAAAATTCAAAGTCATTTTATATGTGTACTTCTAGACAGTATGCTTCAGCATTTTACTAAAGGCATTAACTAAGGAATGAAGCAGATCGACTAATGAATAAAAACACTGAAATTAACTGCAAAGATCTTGTGTCCATTCTTGTTGTCCTGGAGATCACTGTCCAGTTTTTCTGTGCCTTTCCATTTTCTAACGATAGTGCCTAGTTCTTGAAATCTATCTCTTACTCTAAAATGAATTCTTTCTTTAATGGAAAAGAGAAGCTGAAGGATATATATAGAAAAAGAAAAAGTCATTTTGTCCCTGAACAGGAAGTAATTTTATGTCACTCTAAACTTTCTATTATGCAGGCCTGATCATGTCACCCCCCTGCTTAAAAAACTTGGGTGAATTTCTGTTGCATTTCGAAGAAATTGCAAATCTTTTTTTTCCTGTCATTCCCAGCCCTTTAGTGACTGACTCCAACCTTCTTTTCCAATCTTATTTCCAATCTTTTCAATCTTATTTCACATGACTCCCCATTGCATGAACTAACATCTAGCCAAACTGCACAATTCTCTTTTTCCTGTTTTCCCCTCGGGACCTTTCTTTCTGCTATTGCCTACTTATGGAATACTCTACCTTTCTCCCTCACACATGCATGTTTACATATTGCCTGTCTTTCAAGGCCTAATTTGTTAATGAGTGAGAGGGTAAATTAAATTATTATCATAAATTTCTACTGTACCTCAAAGGCCACCTTAAAGGCACATCATTTGTATTGGCAAACAACGTTGTTAATTTAATGATAATTAACAAAGATACTTAGAAAAATTATTTTCTTGTAGCAAAAATTTTAAGAACTTACCTCTTTGAACAAGTCCTATCTGTTCATCTGGACTACTGTAAAAATAAGAGATAGTAGATTATAGCGTAATACTAGGTAGTTATCATTATTATCTTGTGATCTTCCAATTCGTAAGATTCTAGTCAACTCAAATTATTCTTCCTATAATTATCTATACATAATTACCTGTTAAGATATGTTCTTAGCTCTACTGGAATATGTCTATTTCAACCTGCTTGGTCAACCCACACCTAGCCGATAGCTTGCTGACAACTCACATCTTGTGGAGTCATGATTTTTGATTAACAAGCCTAGCTGTATTTTTCCCATCTGAAGAGAAATTGCTTACCTTGATCTTTTTTTGTGCAGATCATAGATCTTATAAAGAACAACTAGTAAGGCTATTGATGTCACAATAATCAAAAATATCAGAAACATGATCAGTGCACGGGAATTATCTATAAAGTAAAAATAATAAATGAAGTTAGAAAGTTTAATTAATAAAATATTTCTGTGAAATATCTTTAAAATACATTTTAAGAATTCTAACATTTCCTATACAGTCCTCATATTTAATGTTGTATCAACTGAAGCCACCTGAAAAAAAATCACAAAATTAAAAATATTCATTAATAAGACAAAAGTAGTATAAGCACCTGAGTACATAGCCTTTATATATAAACAATGCCTACATGTGTGCAAATAACGGAGTATATAAAATTTTTTTGTAATGTTAGTTCAAGTCAAGCTACACATTCATTAAGTAGCGATTAAGTGCAAGGTATTGTACTCCATACAAGGCTCACAGAAAAGAAAAATGGCACAATCCCTGCCCTAAAAGAGTATGCTATCTAGTAAAATAATGACTGGCATTATTTTTATAAATCAAACTGAATTATAATCTTAATTTACTTCTAAAAAATAGAATGTTTTTAGAATGCCTCAAAGCCTCTCACCTGTCTTAACATCTATTTTTTTTTTTGAGGAATCCTAGAATTACACGGCTAGAAGAGACATATAACTTGGTTATTATTTCAACAGGTAGGAAGGAATATACCTGGGGCTGACTTAAGGCATAGAAGAAATAGATGACTTTATATAGTGTGATGTCAGAAGCTTCAGGGATTGGGCAGACATTTTTCCCCATTTCCAACAAGTCTTCCGGCCCCCTAATATCTCTAGTCTCTTTACCAGGGAAGCATTTGAATACCATAGTACAAAATATACATAAATTATATACATGTGGATAAGGAATATGATTTCTTTGGTATAGGGAACTCCTGAATAAGGAAACCCTCTCTACCAACATTGGTTAGCACTTTCTCTCAAATTGATGGTCAAAGAGCATTGACTAGGACGCAGAGAGACTAAGTGATTTTCTAGGGCTATAAACACAGTATGTGCTATTAGAGGGACTTGAACCCAGGTCATTCTGAATCTGAAGCTAATTCTCTCTCTTTATTATGCAATGCTTTTCTTCTTCTTCCCACTGGAATCTATCAGCCCAATAACTTCAATTCTTAATTCAATTCAATGGTATTTCATGTACATGAGTGGCCCTGTTGTTTTTGGGAAGAGAACTAAGAAAGGTCATAGGAACTTCAACTTGTCATATCTTTAGCCTATACCTACATGTTGCATCCTATCATCTTTTGCCTTGGTATTTTCATATTATGAGGATTAACTATTTCTTTATATTAATTTTAAGGATAAAGATTCCCTTGAGATGCATTTTAAAAAATAATTCTTCCAATTACTATTTGTAATAATTATAATAATAATAATAATAACAACAATAACATTTGTAAAATGCTTTAAAGTTTCCAAAATTTTTTACAAATATTATCTCATTTGATCCTTATAACAACTCTGGGAGGTAGGTGCTATTACTACCCTCCACATAACAGATGGGGAAACCATAACAGACATCTCTTCATTCATAGATGACTGTTGTCCCATGACTGTGCTATCCTAGATAAGTTTAAAGGGGAAATATCATCATGTTTACTGTTACGGATACATTTTTCTTTTCTTGCCCAAAACAATCTTGAAAACTACCATTAATTCTGAGAGGGGATTTAATCTATATCACTTGGAGGGATACCCAGAGGGACAAAGACTTATCATATTGTTCTATTATTTCATAGAATCTCCCAATTAGAAGGGATGACAAAGGCCATCTTGACCAAGCCAAGCTGGTCCAGAATCCCCACCATGAAAAGCCTAATGTTGTGAATAATCTCAGAAGTATATTTTCCTTTCCATTAAACATCCCTTCACTTTCAATTGTATGCTAATGGGCATACTTATACACCCAACTAAATATACATAATAAAGATATGACATTGTGAAGAAAGTTCCATTTTGAAAAATAAAATTTGCAAGGTTAAAAACATGGATATATCTCTTTAAAATGTGAAAATATACATTTTTAACAGCACATTATAAACAATAGTACCAGTTAACTACATTTAATAGTTTTATATGTACATATGTTTGTGACTTACAGTTTGTTACTCTAGTTTCGATAGCTGGGGCTCCGTAATACTTCCCATTGTAAGAGTAGAGCTGGGAATCATGCAATAAACACACACACACACACAAACACAATTTTAATTTTATTAATATAAAGGTGTACCTCACAATGCAATAAATAAAAGTGACTTTTATTTAAGTTATACTTTTAAAATAATACAATATTTAATTCTCTGGATGTCATAAAATAAATGCTATACCAAAGCAGTATTTTTAATTTTTTTTTCAAAGCAGTATTTTTTCCCTTAAAGAAAATAATCTAGAAAGTCTGGAACTTTTAGTTTAAATTTTAGTTTGCTTATTTACCCTTAATAATGGGGATGAGCCTGCAACTGAGTCGTACATCTTCTCCCATTGTACCGCCCTTGTGAAAAATAGTATTCATTAACAAAATGCCTAAATTTGAAGGTATAATCTGTGGCCATGGAGCAGAAAGAGATAGATTGATTTGCTTAAAGTAAACATATCAGTTTAATATCAAACCCTTATCAGCTGAATTCCTGGGATAGTTATTATAGTACATACGACAATCTTTGACCTTTTTAAAACATGGCAAGGAGGCTTCAAAAACTGAGAAGCTAAATATTTTGAAATTACAGTAAAATGCATATAAAGGCATGCCATACTTTGAACATGAGACTTAGATAAATTTGAAATTTGGATCAACAAATCAACAAGTGTGCAAATATTTAGCACAATTACACAAAGACTTAATCAGATTTTTAAGGATTAAAAATGTATCTTACCTCAAATGTATGACTGGTCATGTAATGAAGACTGTGCAGGGCAAACATGCAAGTTTTGCTGCTTAGCCATACACTGTTATACAAAGATGTCATATTCAAATAGTAGGTCAAATTGGGACCGTGTATATTTTTTGGCTCCTTGCATTTAACTGTTACACTGTTGTCATTTGTAATCTTTACATCCACGTCTTCAACCATGTCTGGTTCTATTTGAAGAAAGAATAACACCTTTTCAGTTTTCATCATTCAGAAGTCAAGTATAATAAATCTTTCGAAGTAGTTACTTTAAAACAATCTTTTAACTTATGTACAAGATTTTGAATCTATTAATGACTATATAGTGTAAGATTTGGTCCTGGGTAGGAATGAACACAGAAAGTATAGATCTGTCATCTTGTAAGTATTCTCTGCAATGTACTGAGACAGGTTTTAACCTAAATATAAACACATATGTTCATATATGTACTATATAGTCATGTGCGTATGTGTACATAAATATATGTGTATCAATTTATGCATACATATATTGCTACACTCATATGTACACAGATGAATGATCTTTATTGGCTGCATACATAATACGGATGATAAGCAATCTCTTTTCAGAGGTTCTGCAATATCTGTTGTATTGATGCATTCAACACAATAGCATCTGTAAACAGAAACATGTAGAGATCCTCAACATCTATGGGGAATTCCTCTTTCATTTGGACTCTAGCAAACACCTTTAGCAAGAACATGGCTCCATAATATGCTTCACTCGATGTTAATATCAGAAGATTATTGAACAAAATTACTTCAAGAAATCTCATGTGATCTTAACATGTGAACCTGAAACACATTGTCAAAGGAAAGTTTTTATAAAATCCATTTTTGTTTTTATTCTACAGAATCAAATATTTTAAAATAATTAAAAACAACTGACACATTGGGATTTTGAATTCTATGAGCTTTTAAAAAAATTGAGAAAGCTTTGTAGAGTAGAGAGAGCTTTGGACTTAAACTCCAACATGAAGTACAGTGAGTAAGTTACTTAATTTCTCTCAGTCTCAGCTATTTTTTATTTTTCTGGGTTTTTGTTGTTGTTTGTTTGTTTGTTTTAGTGAAATTTCAATAATGATACTTATAATGCCTACCTCCCAGATTTGTTCTCAGGATCAAATGAGATAATATATGTAAAATATTCTGGAAACCTTAAAATGATGTATTATATTATTGTTTGCTAACAGCTATTATTATAATCAAATGCCCATAATGATGTGGTCTGCCATAGAATGTTATTTATGAAAGCCTTCCTGGTATCTTCTCATGATTTTATCAGGGAGGTCTTTTTATTTGGTAAAATACTTACAATTTTTTTTTTTAACAAATGAGGAAGTAAGTAGCTAGATCAATAGTAACTGTTTTCTAGACAGTCTTTTGTTTTGGTAATAATTATGTCAGTGGCTTTTTTCCCAACCATTTTATATCTTTACATCCTTCATATATTTTGAGAATCAATCTCTAAATATTCAAAATTGTGTCACCCTTTCACAGACTTCCTCTCCACACATCTGGTGTGGTACAGGAACCCTCTCCATTTTCTTCAGTGCCATGCTTACATCCTCATTTAGTAAATTGGGGACTGTGATATTAGCATTTCAATGTAATGACTCAGCTACCATTTATGATAGTGGGAAAAATTTGTCATATAAATCTTAACTGGTCTCTGTTGTCCTTTTTCCAGTTTCACCCTTAAATGCTATTGGGATTATTTGGTATCATACCAAGAAAACTAAAAATAAAAGATATGAAACTTTAGTATACTACTTGAGAAAAAGTTGAAATTGTGAGCTGTCAGGCTTAGCTTATTTATAATAATGCTGATTAATTTAGCAATATATATTTCTAGCACCCTCAACCATTAAGAATATATTTTTAATTCCAGGAGAGAATGACTAATAGTAGTTATAAAACCTGTTGGCTGTGTAATGAGGCAATAGATTATCTATAGTAGAGCACGGTGAGGGATGACACTGAGAAGTGATCTCAGACAGAAGAAATAAGAGAACATAGAAGACTGGGGCCATTGAGGGTAGAGGCAAAATCCCTGTCCAATTCACTGTCACAAAATATTATGGTCTGCTCCTGAGTCATCAAGAAAAAAGTTAAATAGATTTTTAATATTTTCTGTTAAAGAATGTAGACAAGAGTTGTCTAAAAGGAACTTAGATTTTGGTCAAAATGGTATAAAAATTAAATAACACTGAATAAAGGGGTAAAGTTTAGTTACTTGGAAAAGGGAAAAGTGTTTGACTTGGAGACCAAAAGACCTAAGTTCGAACGTTGCCTCTAATACTTAAAATCCATGTGATCAAGGACAAATCACTTAACTATTCTAGCCTCAGTCTCCTTTTGGGTAGAAGGTGGATAACAAAATACCTAGTGTCTACTTCATAGCATTATGAGGTTCAAGTGAGCTAATATAAATGACCCCCTCTGCAAAAATTAAAGCATTATATAAAACACTATATTTCAATTGTGTATTAAAGGCAGTTGGTGGTGCAATAGATCTCTAAAGAGATTTTCTAGAAAGAAAACAAATATATGACTTACTTCCTATAGCTGTCTGAAAGGATCTGGTCACAGGAGGTCCCTCCCGTCGTACTTTTCCATCAGTAAAGGCACTTACTGATACATAGTATTGTGTATAAGGTGTCAACTCTGACAGGGTAAAATTGGTCAATTCTGATGAAACATGACCTATTTTTAAAAAAGACACATTTTAAAAATAAAATAATTGAGGAGTTTCTTGATAGTTACATGTGTTTAAACGTAATGCTGAATGATATTCAAAGGTCTAAATTTAACATATAATTGAGAACTAAATGCAATCTTATTACTCTAAAACATTAATTCAACTTTATTAATCCACAGGGAAAATTTTAAAATGTAAACATTGCTTCCCAACTATGTGGTTACATCCTACTTCCATGGCTTAGCTCATGTTGATCCTCAGATCTGAAAGTCACATCCCCTTTCCCTGCCTCTTATCCTTCAAAGTAGAACTAAAATCTCTCCAGGGTGCTATATCAGGCTTCATTCTGGGTGCTTATGTCCTTTCCTTTCTATTCTGACCCTCGGCTATACCTTAACCTCTCATTGAGCAAGACAGTTGGTCTGGGCTCCTGAGCCTATATTACTTAGACCTCAATAAACTCCTAACTTTGTCTCCCAGTATATGAGACTAGGAAAGTGCTTCCTGATGTCTAAACTCCCAGCATTCTTTCCCTCCTGCCTGCTTCTTTCTGTCACACACACTCTATCAGTAATTAAACTCATATCTACCCATCATAGCACTTTTTAGTTTCCTTCCTGTATAACTCAATTGCAGATCTTAGCCCCATCAAATAGATAAGAATCTGTTAAAAAAAAACTTAAACATACAAATAATTTGCGAGGTGTCTATATAGTTACACATATTTAAATGGGGTTTTTAAGAATATTCAGTTATTTCGAGGCAATACTTGATGGAGGACTAAGCAAAATTGGTGCTCTACAACATTAATTTAAATTTATAACTATATTAACAACATATGATGATGTTTCTAAAATAGATTTTCATATGATTCCTCCATGTCTTAGTTCATGTTAGTTCTCAGACCTGAAATTCACATTACTTTCCTTTCCACTTATCCTTCAAAGTAAAACATGACCTGAAATAAAGATTCTTAATGTGAGGTCCCTGAATTTTTGTTGTTGTTGTTGTTAAATGCTGTAATTACTGTAAAATTTGGTTTCCTTTGTAGTCCCATGTATTTTATTTTATGCATTTAAAACCACTATTCCAAGAAGGGGGCCATAGACTTCACCAGATTGCAAAAAAGGCCCATGCCACACACTCACACATTCACACAGAGAAGAAGAAGAGGGAAAGAGAATAAGCACATTTATATAGCACTTACTATGTGCCAGGCACTGTGCTAAGCACTTTTTAACAAATATTTTCTCATTTGGTCCTATCATGCTATATAAGGAATCAAGGTAGATCTGGATTTGAATCCTACTTTTGGTACTTACTAACTGTGTGAACATAGGAAAACTATTTAATTTTGCTTAGTCTTCATCTCAGTTAAATGCTATATGTAAAGCACTTTGCAAAAGCAATATGTAAATAATAATAATTATTATTATTTTACGTATAAGAAAACTAAAGGTCAGAGCCCAAGTTTGCACATCTACCAAGTACCTGAAACTGAACCCAATTCTTCCTTATTCTAGATGGATTGGCAGTTGCAAAATACTGCAAATTCCTTAAAATAAGAACTTTAGTCATCCATTATTTTTGATTTCTAATATTTCTGTTTCTTTGTCCCCCTTATTATGCTCTCCTTCTCTCTATTATGCCCTCATTCTCTTCCTATTTGTTGATATATCTTTCTCTGCTGCCTAGCAACAAAACCAAATCATTCTATTCTTAAAAACAAACACACACACACACACACAATCCTATTCATACTATCCATCAGTTTTTATCTCTTCTCTCCTTCTAAGGTAAATTTCTTTAAAAATTTGTCTATATTCAATGCCTTCTTCTTCTGTTCTTTAACTCTTCTAAAATTTGTGAAATCTGGCTTTCGTGCTCATTATGTGACTGCCATTGTCCTCTGCAAAGTTACCCATGATCTCTTCATTGCCAAAACTAATGACCTTTTCTCAGTCCTCATCTTTCTTGACCTCTCTGCAGCATTTGACACTGTGTTACCATCTTGTCCTCCTCAATATTCTCTCCACTCTATACTTTCGGTCTTTTCTTGGATCCCCTACTTCTCTGCCTGTTCTTTCCCAATTTCCACTGCTGGAACTTCCTTTGCTCATTAGCTGTGGGTGTCTGGCAAGGTTCTGTCTTGAGCCCTCTTCTCTTTTTTACTGATGTTCTCTCACATGATGATCTCATTGGCTTTGATGGATTCAATGACAATAGCTATACAGATGACACCGACGTGTATATTCAACCCTTTATTCCCTCCTAACTTCGCAGGGGTGGGGAATCTGTTGCCTCAAGGCCGTATGTGGCCTCGAGGTCATATGTGGCCTTGAAGCCACAGGTTCCCCACACATGTTCTATTCTCATATCATGTGATAGGTCTGCTGGACACTTAGAATTTGATGTCCCATAGGAATCTCAGATTCAACATATCTGAAACAGAACTAATCCCTTGCCTCACTAGTATTAGTATTATTGCCTATAGGATTAAATATATACTTCTCTGTTTCTTCACCACTTGGCCCCTTCTTCTTGACCCTTTCTAGTTTTCTTACACAATATTCTCCTCTATATACTCTATGTCTAACAATATCTACCTACTTACTGCTCCTTGTATAAAACATTTCCTCTCCCATCTCTTCACGGTGTCTATACTCCATTCCTGGAATGCTCTCTTCATTTTAGAGTCCCTGATTTCATTTAGGATTTATTTTAAGTTCTACCTTCTGCAGAAAGCCTTTTCTGTTCCACATAATGCTGTTTGCCTTGTTATCAAATTTGTATTTATATTGTATAAGCACAAGTATACACATGCATATGTATATACACATGAGCAAATATACAAATACATGTGCTGATACATGTACATGTCTATATGTTTTGCATGTGCACATATGTGTGTGCATGCATATAATGTGTTATGTATATATTATATATGCTAACATTTAAACAAGGGAGACATACATATTTATAAATATGTGTATATATAAACAACATGCACATATATGTTATATATGTGTGTATATATGTAAATATATGTATATAATGTTAGTACCTGCCATGTAAGGTCATCTTTCATCAAGCTTGAATGTATCTTTTTTGTACACAGTCATTTACCTTTGTCTCCCCCATTAGAATGTTAACTCCTTACTAAGATGAATGCAATGACCAATCATGATTCCATAGATTGGTTAGAGAAGTATGCTGCCCACCTCCTGACAGAGAGATGATGGACTCAAGATGTGGTATGAGACATATATTTTAGGGCATGGCCATTGTGGGAATGTCTTTGCTTCGCTGCATATTTGTTATAAGAATTTTGCTTTTCTTTCAATTTTTTTTTCCAGAGAGGGGAAGAAAGAAGAGAAAATAAGTGTTTCTTAAATTTAAAAAAATAGACTAAATTTTTTTTAAAAGAATGTGATCTCCATGAGAGTATGAACTGTATTTTGTCTTTCTTTGTATGTCCATCACTTAACAGAGTACCTGGCACATAATAGGCACTTAATAAATGCTAATTGACTAACTGATTGACTTCAGGTCAAAGATTGTTTTACATTTGTCATTGTATTTCCTGCTTTAGTATGATTCCTGACACATAGTAAAAAGACTGATAAATCCCTTTTAATTGATTAATTGATTGAAGGCCTGGGACTTAGAATATAACACCTTAGAAAGATCAGATAATTTTGCAAAAGGTCTTCAGTTAGCTACTTTTTCAAAAGCCAGGGAATCCTAGAAGTTATGGTAGATTCTTTCATTGCAAGTTTCATTACCCTAGCTAAATAAATGTCTCCATGGTAATCTGATTCATTCACGATTCCTAGGAAGGTCACAGAATGGCCTGAAATTAAACTGATTACAAATTACCTGCATCAAAGTTGTTTTTTTGGATGATAAAGCCATGAACAAAGCCTGAAGGTTGATCCCAAGAAATTTCAATTTTTCTTTCACCTATTGATGTAGATTTCAAATTGTAAGGTGCTTTGGGAGCTATTAAAGGAAAGGGAGATAAAAGATATGAAAATATTAATGTGGAAAATATTCTGTAAATTTGAAGCATACCTGAAATTATAAGCAATTTTGTAATTCTATGACTGGTTCAATTCTTGATACCATTTAATTGAAAAACAATTGGTTGAATTTAATGTGCTCTTGTAGAATCCTTATCTTCCTCCAATGCCAGCTCAAATGCTCCCTCCCTTGTGAGGTCTTTCCTGATTTCCCTCAGTTTCTAGTGTTCTCCTTCTCTGCAAATTAATTTGCATTTACTTTATATGTATTTTTACCAGTGCTTTACCATCTGTATATTTCTTCCCAAATAAAATGTAAACTCCTTGATGATGGGTACTGGGTTTTTGTTTTTATATTCCCAGAACCTGACACAGTGATTGCTAGTAGCAGGCATTTAACAAATGCCTGTTGAATTAAGCGGAATTGAATAATGTTTAATGAGATCCAGAGATTTCTCTTTATTTTTTGACTTGGCAGAATCCAGATCAATGAGTGGTTGTGGGGCTCTACTCCATCTGCATGTGCTGTTGTCCTGCTCTTCCCAGTACCCCTGGATTTCAGTGGAATCATAATTTGGAGATGATAGCAAGGACACTTTTCATTGACATCAGTTGGAATGATGAAACAATTATTTACCCTATGGAATGCTGGAGAATGGGGTTACTACTAATTCCACATTTATAAGTTTGAAAACATCCCTACAAACACTCCTATGGAGGTCTCATTCCTAGGTGGCAATCCCAGTGAAACCTGTAGAATCCTGAGGTTTAAAAAAATTGACAAAAATTCAACCAATATTTGGCACATGAGAAATAAATAACTGCAAAGCTATTTTAAATTCTACTGCTATTTCTATCAATTATTATTATTACAGCATAACTCCCTCCCCCCCAAAAAAATGTTTACCCACTATAGAAATTATCTTTTCAGCAAAGTGCTTAAAAGTACAAAATTTCCCTACAGGCACAGAACTTTAATCACAGTCATCAGAAAATGACATGTCAAATCAGAAAACGGATACAATAAGGGAACTTTCTATATTTAAAGAAATTCCATTTATATCTTTGTCAATGGTCCTTCTTGCCCACTATACCAAACTGAGGATGAAGAGATATTTTGTCTTCCCCAATAATTAAAATTCTAAATATTAGTTATGAATTTATTGAATCAAATAATATTTAGCCTAAAGCTCTTCTTTGTATACCAATGTCCATGTTTATTTCTTTCACAAGTACATGAAAATGATATAGTTTTAGGAAGTTTCTGAAATTCAGTTAAATCAAAGCAAACAGAGCTCTTTATATTTTCCCTGTTATTTTCTTATGTCATGAAATAGAAAGATGTGGATCTGTCATCTGACACAGAAATAGAGTGATGTTACTTATTTTGGGGCGGGGGCGGAGAGTTAAAGGCAGACTAGATCTATTCGAGGAACTCCTGGCATATACCAGCTCTCTACTAATGCAGATCAGGATTCATCTGTGACTTCTAATCTCAGAAAACATCTGAGGCCATGAGAATTTAGGTGACTTGCCCACAGTTATACAGAGAGCATGTATGTGAGAGGGAGACCTTAAATTCAGTTCTTTTTTATTCTCTAAAACCCATCCTTTGAAACTGGCAAGATAGTTGATTTCCAGTTATATTCTATAAATTTTCAAGAGTTCCAGACTTCCTGACATATAATAATAAAGAATAATGACTATTATTGTTGTCCTTATAGCTAAGAAAATCACAATCATATGGAAAGATGACATACGCATCATTCTTGTTGCCCTACTTGCTGTGAGATTTGTTCTGGGGTTGCTTTCAGAGACCCTACCAAAAATGAGCTTTCATTCTATTTCTTTTCTTACATCTACAAAAGCAGATTTTAAAAAAATCTTCCTTTCAATAAAAGGAAGATTCAATATCTGAGAATAATAACAGGATAGTAACTTGTCCTGGGATCATTTCTATTTAAACCTCACCAAAAAAGATGAGAAGAGTTAAGATGATGACGATAATGATGATAGAATCAAAAGGCCCTCCATGAACTTAGTCAGAACCATAATGATAATCATGCTTTGTTTAATCCTTATTTATTGATATGTTAAAAGAAACAAGAATAACAATGTTCAAATATTAAATGGATCTGGGATCTTACAAATGAAGCATTTTTCTTCCAACAGTATAATTCAAAACCCATCCATAACTTGTCATGACTCTCATTTATTATTGTCTATAGATCTTCCACAAAGGAACTGTCCTTGGAATAAAAAGATACTTTTTAAAATGTTTACTGGACATGTGATTTTATCAGTATAAGGAGATTCTGACGAGGAACTTTCCCTACCAGAGTGAAGTCCTTTCATTACATCATTTCATTCCTAAAGAACTGTTCGGAGGCACTGAAAGAAAACTTCCTCCAGTTCCACAGCTATTATGGGTCAGAGGTAAAACTTGAACCCAAGTCTTCCTGACTCTAAGGCCAGCTCTTTAACCAGTAAAACATACTGCCTCTCATGCAAAGTATTTATGATCTAATATTATTAAAAGAAAAAGAAAAAAATTCCCATGTCTTATGTCACTTGATCCTAACAACAGCTGCACCAAATAGGTAGAGCAAGCATTTTTGTTGTCATTTTACAAACGATGACTCACAATTCTTTGTGAATTGTGGTGACTGGTCCAAGATCACACACCTAGTAAAGTGTACCCAACTGAAAATTTCCCCTCCGATTCTACCACATCTTTTCATCCTCCTATCATCATTCACTGAAAGTAGGAAGAAAAGGGGGAAAATACCATGTTTACAATTTTAAATATTACACTTACTTCCAAAGTCTGTTGTAATATTCTTTTTTATATTTTTAACAATATGGTCCTGATATCTAACAGAGGCTTCACAAAGATAAAGTTCTCGAGGGGTCAATTTAATGAATTCTTTTTTCTTCAGGTTGCTTTCAGATTGATTGACGCGTGTTTTGTTACCTTTCTGGTCTTTACCTGGAAGAAATAATTGTCATTTTGCTGGCACAAGTCCAATATGTTACTGATCCACACATTTGCAATTAGCTCTATGAGCTTAGGACATTACATAGGGAGAGAAGAGAAGATGACCCAGTACAAAAACCAATGACTGATTTTTTTATCACTGTTAATTAAATCCACCTATGGATAAGATGACCTGGAAAATCGTTGGCTCCCAGCAATCCTTGAGCCTTGAGGCTTCTGAACTGCTGTGATTTTGAAGACCACCTTCCACCACTATTGAATTTGCTGTCTTTGACCCTATCCCAGAAAATTGATTGATGCTTCTTGATGGACTCAGCCCATCCCATCTGGATTCCCATTCCTCTGATATAACCTCAGTCTTGATCGGTGACCCCAGGTTGCACTAGGCAGTGCCTCAAATCTGCCTTTAACTTTATGCATTTCACTGCAGTTGCCAGTCCCTCATTGTTCCTTAGGGCTGGTTTTCTGGTTAGACTAGAACTCAGACTACAGATTGCTGGCCTATCCTCTATTCTTCCAGACGTAGCTGACCCTGGACATTGTTTACCACATACATTCTTTCAATAACTCTATCAATTCAACAAATGTCTTAATTTGGGGTGAAACATGGGGTAGGAATGGGGCATTATAGCATATATTTGGATATCAGAGATTCTAAGGAATATAGTATGCTTCTGATAGCAGTCTTCTATTTATAAAAGTAAAATTTTTATTTCTACTTTATAAGAATTCCATGATGCAGTTTGACTGACTGACAACCACAAATTACCCCTCTATCATGACTGAACTTTATTGTGCACCAAACTACTCTAGGATTACCACAATGTACAGCTATAGGATCTCAAAGGGTACAAAATATCAAGCAGTTAAAAGGGAATAAAATCCTTATGCTATATTGTATATGTTACATCAATGGTCAAGGCTATATAATCACACAGGTTATTTTGTGATCTTTTCCAGGTGTTTCATTATGACAGGACACTGAATAAAATATCTCTTTGATAGATCTATGTGTATTTTCTAACCCATTCTTGGATAATAATAATATTAATAGTAACTTCTTGTAGTGTCTTAGGACTTGCAAAGCACTTTACATACACTATCTGAGCCTCACAAAAATCTTGTGATGTAGTTGATATCATCACCTACATTTTATAGATGAGAAAATTGTGGCAGACGGAGGTTAAGTGACTTGCCTGCGGTCACACAGCAAGTAAGCATTGGAGGCAAGATCTGAACTCAGGCTGTCCTGACTCCAAGTGCAGTTCTCTCTTTACTCAATTACCTAGTGTTTCACTTCTTTTGTTATCTCCCCTCTGCCCCATACAGTAAGTAACATGCATAAACTAGAGGCTCTATAAATGATAGTGAATCCATTCATTTTCAAGTTAATGTTTTTTTTTTATTTTTGGTGGTTTTGTAAATGTACTAAATGTTATGAAGATCTGTGTGGTTTACAAAACAACTACTATGTGAATCCAGAACCTAATCAAGTATAAACATTTACAACCTACAGAGAAGCTAAGGGAGAAAAATTACCCAGAAACAATGAGCTCTTACATTCAAAGTTGTAGGATAAATAGTCCATTCTGCATTTAGAACTTTTTTCAGTAAACTTCCATTCTAAACTAATAGAAGTATTTGCTTTTTTATCTTGTGTTGAGTCTCTTAACTCAAAATGTTCTGGAGCTGTTGAGATAAAGAATAAGAAATACGATATAATTTGCATTTCATAATTTTACTGTGCCAACTTAGAAATACTTAAAATATTCCTATGACATGAATTAGAGGACAAATTTTTGGTTATCTTATAAATGTTAGGTCAGTTAGGACAAATAATTTTCTCTGTCACTACAGGGCAAACTAAAATTTTATGAAACTCTAGTCAGTCATAAATACATTCAATTGTTTATAAATAATCACATAAAATATTTTAGTGTATATAGATGACCAGCCTTCATCAAGATAGAAAGAATTTGCTAGTAAAAAAAAAGAAATGATTATGTCTACAAGAAATCACTAATTCAAATTTTTATCACATGGGTATTTTTTTGTTACTTACTTGTAGACTAGCAAAAAAATTAGACAAATGACTATTCCTACTGTTAAATATAGTCATGATTTGTTTGCTTGTTTATTTGTTTTTAAGCAAGAGTCCCTCCTCTACCAAAGTCCTTCTTTGATACTTAATCCTAACAAGGGGTTTACCTTGGATTCTTAAAGATTATACTAGGAAGCCGTAATTCTAAAATCTAACAAGGTTTGGGCTACAAGCCTAGAGACAGATCGTCTAACTATAGTCTGAAGAAGAGACTGGCTAAATTCAGAGAAACTCATCACTAGGAAAGACATAGGATGAGATATTAAAATTTTATTTGTTTGTTTAAGCTATACCCCCAATGAAAGCTTTGTACTATTAGAGAGCAGTTAAATTTGCATCTGTGGAAGGAGTACCCTGACTGAATGTAATTCATGGATTCTTGAAGTACAATGCAGAAGGTTCTTATGCAAACAATTTTGTGGAATTTACAAACTTGTGAATGAGTACAATCATTACAGTGACATACCCCTCTAAAAGTGGGAGTTAGGTGGAACTGTCGTGGTCACTGGGCAGCTTCTTCATAAATGTGTTGGGTGAAGGGGAGTTGGGGCAGAAATTTAGGATGGAATTCAGCTGGGTGATGGGGAAAAAAGGTGGATAACAGCAAATATGCTTAGAAGAAGTAAACATGGTAATTATGTACAATTAAAATGGATATTTACCTGGTGGCACATTTAATGTGAAAGGAGATGAACATGGTATAATAGTTATATCAATGAAAGAGCATTCAGTCAGGTTTTTATAACAGTTATTAGGAGTTTCAAATTCACATTTGGTCTCATTTTTAGTAATATTCAGTTCTGCAATATAGCTTCCTTGGAAATATACATAATCCACTGCAATATTTTTGTATGACTCTGAAAGGAAAAAAAGAATTTAAGTTTAATTTCAGATTCACACATTTAAATGATCATATCCTTAATTTATTACTAGTTTATTTTGTATTGATTTCTTCTTTTCCTCCTGAGGAGACCCTTAGGATAACATTATCATCCCGAATATTCCTTATGAATTTACAAACACATAGTCCCAACCTGGTAGGGGTGGCAGGAACCGATTGACAACTAAAGAAGGTAGCTAATGGCTTTTTTATTTGAATAATCCTACCCAAGTATATAATAGAAGGACTAGAATTTAAGAATAACATAGAGGAACAAGATGTATCAATTGACACATTGTAATTTTTTTTAGGCATAAAGAAATTAGACCCTTTGACTGAGAAATACCACTACTAGGTCTGTATTCCAAAGAAATTTTTAAGAAGTTTGGAGGAAGGACCTATTTGCATAAAAATATTTATAGCAGTTCTTTTTGTGGTGACAAAGAATTGGAAATTAAGTGATATCCATCAATTAGGGAATGGTTGAACAAGTTGTGGTATATGAATATAATGGAATACTATTGTGCTATAAGAAATGATGAGCAAGATAATTTCAGAAAAACCTGGAAAGGCTTACATAAATTGATGAAAATTGAAGTGAGCAGAATCAGGAGGACATTGTACATAGTAAAAGCAATATTGCATGATGATCAACTGTCAGTAAGTTAGCTATTCTTAGCAATACAATTATTCAAGACAATTTCAAAAATACTATCTATCTTCAGAGAAAGAACTGATGGAGTCTGATTGTAGATTGAAGCTTAGTATTTTTCATTTTAGTTTTTGTGGTGGAGTTTTTCTGTTTTCTTTTACAACATGACATATATAAATATGTTTTACATAATTACACATGTATAACCTACATCAAATTGCTTACTGTTTCAGAGAAAAGAGAGGGGAGGAAGGAAAAGAGAGAATTTGGAACTCAAAATTAAAACAGAACAAGTGTTCAAACTTATTTCTACATGTAATGGAGAAAATAATAAAAATTATTTTAAAAAAGAAATTAGAGATGGTAGGATGAAAATATTAATTTTAAATTTTTTTAAATATTTCTATTGACTGACTTGTCCTTCTAGTTCTTCTAGTGTTAAGGTGAATAAATTATGGAATACTTTGAGTGCTTACTCATCCACTAGAAAAGTAAAGACATTGCCCTGGATTGGGATGTAAGTAGAATATCTGGAGTTTTGGTCACTCTGCCTGAATATGGAATCTGTGCTAGCAATGTATGTAGATCAGGAGAAACAAGAACTCAAAGGAAGCACTTTAAGTACAGCCTATCAAGATTGGGGGCATGCAACAAAAAGGTCTTCTTCTTGGTTGAAACATAGTGAAAGGGATTGAATCTCCGGCCAGGCACTTTACTAGCAATCATAACTTTGCCAAGAGAGGACACATCCCTGGCTAGACCAGAAAGGTACTTGTTAGGTTCACCTTGACTTGTGTTAAGGGGATCCAACAAGAGTAGATCTTTTGATGGGAACCGGTAGAGTGGATGCTATGAAAGGATAGATGATATCTCAGAAGGATCCTTCAACTGCAAATATTATAGAGCTACAACTAAGATTATCAGAGATGAGACCAGCACCCTAGCATGTAAACAACCCCATTACTGGAACTGCAAGGGGTACTGAGGATTGTTTAATGTATGATATTGTGAAATAGAACCTCTAGGTCCCAATTAATGGGCATAATGAATTTCCTGAAGTGGTCACATGTATTTGAGTATGCACTATTCCAAGGTATAATTATGTAAAATGTGGTCATTAATTCCATCCCAATTGAAATATGCAGTGTGCATTTGAATACTGCAACCACTTCAGGATGATTAGTTAGTATCACTGACTGGGACCTGGACAATAATATGTGTGTGTTACAGAATGGACAATATTATCACAGAATCTTTCCATAGAAACACTTCACATATTATGGCCAGTGAACTTTCAAGTGTGATATTGGTGCCAGTGTATTCCCCTGCTCAACTAATAATATCACCATCATAATGATGATGATGATAAATAATTAATATAGCATGTATACAGCACTTTACATGATTCTCCTATTTTCTGGGTGTGAGTCTTGAGGCAACAGGAGTGTGTCAACTCACAAACATAATACAGTAAATAAGCCTTAATAAATGAGTTCAAATGGTTTGAAATTCATCTAGCTTAGAAAATATAGGACTGTATACACACACATGAAAAAATTGAAAAATGAAAGTTCCTATAAAGATGAATCTGTTCATAATTTTGTTCAGCCAGGTTTACTGCAATGACAATAATAATAGTGAACATTTGTATAATACTTTGCAGTTGATATAGCATTTTCCTCACAACAATAAGGAAGATAGTGAGTATATTATTATGTTAATATTATATGTAAGGAAAGAAAATCATGTGATGAAGTTTAAACTCAACTCACATCTTCCTATTTCAAATCCAATATTATTTTTGCCATCCCAAGTGGCCTTATGGTTCCTCAAAGACAGCATTCATGGATATGGTTCTGAAATTACCTAGTAGATTGCATGTCCCTGAAGGCTAGATACTTCTCACTAATAAAATCTGTTTCTCTCTCCCTGTACCCCTTTCTCTCCCTCTCCCTTGTTATTATTCCTTTAGGGCAAAGACTGTTTCATTTTTCATTTTTGTTTTTTTGTATCCTCAGTATATAGCACAGTGCTTTGCATACAGGTGGTACTCAATAAATGCTTATTGTTTGCTTGCTTGTTTGGGTCCAAACACTCTCCATGTAACCATCTCCTAGATTTCTTCTTTTATTAAAATTTAGACTCCAGTGAAGAGACTAGTCAATAGTGCTAACTGCTGACATTAGCTTCCTGACAATATTCCAGGCATAGATTAGGGAAGCAGCGAGGTATGCAATTTCTTAACTATTTCAATATTCTCTGAAATATATAGTTTTCCAGGCTGTGTGGCCAAACAAGATCAATAATATGTAAAAATAACAAGAACTTACATTTATATCCTAGAATCACAGAATTTTAGAGTAGGAAGAGAGCTCAGCAGCCAGTCAGTTCAAACCATACTTAAGGAGAATCCTCCACTATTACACTACAAGTAGTCATTCAGGTGTTGCTTGAAGACCTCAAGGGACAGGAAACTGAAGACCCTAAAATGTCCATGCTACCTTTAGACATTCCTAATTTTAGAAATGTCTTCTTTGCATCAACCCCAGTTTGGTTTTTTACAGCTTCCACCCATTTGTCCTAGTTCCACACTCTGGGGTCAAACATAACAAATCTATTCTCTCATTGATGTGAGTCTCTTAAGGAATTGAAAATAGCTATCATGACCCTCATGAGTCTTCTCTTTTCCTTGAATATTCTGAGTTTTTTCATCATATCCTCAAACAGCATGAATTCAAAGTTTCTGGTTACTCTCATTGAGATGTTATCCATGAATGATTCTGCTAAAATGTGGAGCTGAGAACTGAAAATGGTATTTCAGATATGTTTTGGCTTAGATAGAGTACAGGGAGACTATCATATCCTTATACCTTCATATTATGTCTCTTTGTATTAATTATTATCAAAACTTTGCCCCTTTCAAGTTTCAAATATATTATTCATTTGATCTTCACAAAAAACTCTTCAAGTGTGTAACATAGGTTGTATTATATTCATTTTAAAGAGTAGTCTACAGAGGTTAAGTGAGTTAATGTAAAGATGATGGCTAAGCATGGGAAGACAATCATGAACTGATGCAGAGTAAAGTAAGCAGAACCAAGAGAACAATATACAAAATGACTGTGTGTGTGTGTGTATGTGTGTGTGTGTGTGTGTGTGTGTGTGGGGGGAAGGAAGGGAGGGAGGAAGGAAGGAAGGAAGGAAGGAAGGAAGGAAGGAAGGAAGGGAAGGAAGGAAGGAAGGAAGGAAGGAAGGGAGAGGAAAGAAGAAGTGAAGGTGGGAGGGTGAAAGGCAGGGTGGAAGGAAAGAAGGATGAAAGAAAGGAAAGGTAGAAGAGTAGAATGAAAGAACAAAGGAAGGAAAGAAGGAATGATCTGTGATTATAAAGTCCAAGTTTGACCCCAAGTCTGAGGGTAGGGCATGTTTCTTATTTTGTCAGACACAACTGATGTATTGGTTAGTTTTGTTGACCTATTATTTTTTTCTCTTTATTTTTTTCTTTGTTACAAGTGACAGTTTACTGGGAAGAGGAAGAGGATAGATACATAACACATGTAATGTGACATAAAAACAAAATAAATAAATAAAAATAAGACTAAACTGGAGGAAATTTTAAAGATAAAAGCTAAGGCTAGAGAAACTGTGACTTGTCCAAAGTCATAAGCAGGTTAATTATAGAGCCACAGATAGATATCCTTTTTTTCAATAGAAAAGAGGGGAAATTTTCATTTAATTATTTATTTCAATGAAGCTGAATTAGGCAGAAAATAATAACAACATATTTTAATAAGTAATTGCTGGTGAGGAAATGGTGGTGGGAAATAGCTTTTTCTTGTGTGGAGAGGGTTGAGGAACCTGTTATTTTGTTGTTGTTGTTGTTGTTGTTTTTTAATGATAAATGAGGCCAAAACACATGTGCAAGAAGAAGAGGAGTTAGTAGAAAGGGAGAGATTATAAGACCAGAGAGTGATGTAATAATAGACTGAAAAAGCCTGGGAATAATTTGTCTAGGGCAGGGTTGAAGGCAGAGGTAGAGCATTTGTCTTAGAAAAGAGAGATACCTCTTCCTCTGAAACAAGAATGAAGATTAGTCAAGATGCATGTCAAAGACAAGATTAAACTTACCACATTTCTCAGATATTGAACTGTTTGCTAGAAGAGAAAAAAAAGAAAACAAATTATCATACTGATTTCTCTATGGCTACAATGGAATTGCTATCTCCTGTCCTCAAGTCTAGTGTCCTTCCCTCTCCCCCTCATTTAATAAAATTATAATAAATTATGACTAATGAGCATAGATTCATAGACTCTTAGAGCTAGAAGGGACCTTATGAAACATAAGATTTGGAAGCAGAGAACCTGAGTTCAGATCTCAGATCTGCCACTTAGCACCTGTATGACTTTCTACAAATTACCTAAGTCCTCTGGGTTTCAGGTTACTCTATCTGTATAAGGACAGGATTTACAGCAATGATCTCCAATTTCCTTTCAGTTCTTAAAGGTTATAGTTCTATGATCTAATTCAATCACCTCACCTGCACATGAGGACATGAGGTTTAGAGAGGTAAAGTGGTAAAGGAAGGTAAATGTTAGAACCAGAACTAAAATCTAGGTCTCCTGTTCTCAAGTCCAATGGTCTTTCCATCATTAACATCAAAATGTTACTACTGTCAATGATTTGATTTTCCAAAACTTTTATTTATTTTCTTCAGTAAGTATGAGTGATCGATTAGCAGAAGTAGCAACTTGGAGTATATATTTCATGCTTTCCCCCCTCAAAATTAAAGTGACGTAAAGCCCCTTTGTGATCTAAACAGATGTCAAAGCTCCAAGCAATGCAAGGAACATGTAAGCAGTATTGATACCTATATAGTGTAAGGGTTGGAGTTAGCCTAGACAATTATGCCAACCTAAATGAAGTAAATGATAAGACGTGATGTTCTGATATCTTAACCAGATGAAAGAGCATCTCTATAAATCAGCCAAATCAGTAACCTTATACTAAGTGAATGGATTGGAAAGACACTGGCAGGAAGTCTGCTCTGATTGGGTGATTAACTTGTTCATACTCTGGGGGACTTGTATTAAATAGTGGTCTAATTCAGATCCTAAGAGGTTTATAGCAAGTAGTGACCTAGTAGACCTTCTTGGTCTAGGCTTCCTCACTTGCCACCTTAGGAAGAGGATTTGGACTTTTCCCTAGTCATGTTCTCAAGACAGTAGCAGCTGGTGGCTGTATCTACATTGGGAGCCAAAAACAAAATAGAAATAATAAGATAAAGACGATTCATTGAATTGCAATATGCCACACATAAAAAGCCGCACTATGCTTAAGAGGAACTTCGTGAGTAAACTGCAAAAGGATGGAAAAAATTTCTATCAACTAGAAGCTGTTATATACATATTTGCCACATGAACTTTCTAAGCTTGATCCCCCTTTTCTCTGGTCTCTGTATGCACACCAGTGCATGTTAGGTAGAGCATGTTATAGACCTTTGGGGAAATTTTTTGTACCAACTGTTCTTACTGTAATATCTTAGTATAATATCTTTTTCTAAAAATCAGTTAAGTCTGGCTGACTAATTGATATCAACTGATAGTCATGGGGAGAAAGCACACTGGCAGAGTCTCATGAGCTATATATACAATTATAGGTACTCCCAATCCCTCAAGGATACCCTGGAGCCCTGAGGGGATGTATAGTCAGCCTCTGCACACCCAGCTTGTCCATGAAGATGAGAGTTAAGATAAGGACCTCAGAGTCTATATATGTTTCACTGGAAAGAAAGGATAAGTAACTTATGGGTCCTGGTGCTGATTCTAACTTGCCTTTTGCACCTTCTTCATGAAGCACAGAATCAATATAAGTTATTAATTAAAAAAAACTAAAAAATAACATTACTTCAGAAGTTTTGGCAGAAGAGACTACTGCAAGGTAGGGAAGATCTTGAAATCTCTGACATTCCTGTCAGTATTCCTTGCTGAAGTTCAGGAACTTGGGATTCAAAAGGGATAGGGAAGCTACCATCCTAGTGAGATACTCTGACTACCATGAATTTTATGATCAGTCTCTGGATGTTCCATCTGCTTCTAGATTTCCATGCTTTGCAGTATCTGCATAGGTGTCAGCTATATGTTTATAGATATTTGATCATAAGACTATTCTAGTTTATAGAATGATCTTTTTCCTTGCTAGCATCTGGACCCACTATAGAAAAAACAACAACTATAACTACAACAGCAAAAATAACTTTGGGCTAATTTGGTCATTCTACTAGACTGATTGTAAGGTTTGCATAAGCCACATTTTAATCATAAAAATGTAAATTGTACCAAAAGCACACGTAGAAAGTAACTATCCTGGACAATTTGACTGTAGAACCCTAAAGATCCGGATTCTTTTTGCTATTGTTGTTCCCCAGTAGCCAAAGATAATATTTTAAATTATGTTCAGAAAAAAAAGAAAGTTGAGTAAATTTAGGGCTCTCCTATGAGCAGATTTCCATGCAGAGGGTGTTATGATTGCAATGATCAGTTATCAGTTTGTCACCTATTATTGTTGAAGCATTCGTGCTAAAGTCAATGCTTGAAGAATTGCTTATGGTGGCTGCAGTATCAGAAACATCTGCAAGGAAAGCAACAGAAAAAAAATGATAATTAACCAATGAGCTTGATATTTGGAAATGGAAAGGGGAAAATTTCTTCCTATGTTCTACAAAAAGAATTGTTTTATAAATATGAAACATTGTCCATTAAGATATGTTTCATATCAAATGTAGTTGACTTACTCTTGAAATTAAAACAAACTTAGAGCTTCTGACAAATTCAATCACTCCTTGTTTATTTTCTTTAAATACAATATATATCACCAATATAATTGATCTGTCTAAGAAGTAGGATTAGTCTAAGGATTCCCCTAAAAGACATAAAAGCTAAGTGACTTGTCCAGGGTTACACAGCTATATTCATTGCCGAAGGGAGGATTTGAATTGAGGGTTTCCTGATTCCAAGACCAATACTTAACTATGTCATGCTACCTCTACAAAGTTGGCTTTATCCAAGTAAAAATAAAAATTGCTTATAGCATAATTCTTAGTTAAAATGCATGTTTTTGTTAGCATTCAGAAAATAATATCCTTAGCCTCCATGCCACAATCAATAATTTGTTGCATTAAAATCAAATTTTCACAATGAACATTCAAAACCAAGAATAATGCTCAGTAACAATTGGGAGGACAGTTTCTTTTAGTGCTAATATGTTTTCAGCCTTCTGAAATTTGTATCTTTCAATGTGACAGGCTTTATTCCTTGTGAACAAAAAGAGCTATTTCTAGGTTTACCATCATAAGTCTTACCCATCCTGCTATCTGGAGGTTTAATTGTGAGAAGAAAAACCAAACCTGTAACATTGTCAGTGATGGTGATGGCAGTAGTGAGTGAAGAAAGGACAGCAGAGCTGTTGCGTGCTGGATTGAAATCTGTTACTGGTGTAGAGTTTGAGTCTGAAGGTAAGGATGTGGATGTAAGCATTTCTGGTAAAGAAGTAGAGTAAAGAAGGAATTGGTAACTATTATTTCTCTCTGTCGCACAAAAGCAAAAATTTGAAATTCAAAGCCAACATTATAACTGTATCTGTAAAGAACCTGAGTGGCAAAATGACTTTGTTTCCATGTATGCTCTCATTTCCAGACCTTAGAGTATATGTAAAACACTGACTCCAAGCTATACCTGCTCCAGACACTGAGAATAAATGGAAGAAACAGAACCATCACCAATACTTAGAGTAAGTACTACAAAACACAATCCAGGGTTTGCCACATAATAGGCCCCCAAAATTAACTTTTAAAGCCAAATTCAGTTGTAGGAGAGTAGGAAGAGAGATCATAAACTCTGGGTCACAAAGTACTGTGTGTGGAGCAAGATTCTGAGAAACCTGAAGATCACTACTGGGGAGGTTGCTACACGGAGAGTGTCTTGGATAGGGAAGGAAAGAAGCTCCTCTGGAGTGTGGCTTCGCATCTGATAACTTCCCATTTACATGAATTATTCTTACTAATTGGTTGATGAGGTTATTTATTTCAACCTGCTGTCTGTGCTTTTTAAATTTTTATGCCCTGGAGAAAGCTCCATGACCTTGCCCTAGTTATGACTCAGGAAATCTTAGGCTGATAGAATCATAGCTATGGAACTAGGAAGGCCCTTGGAAGTCACATAGTCCAATACTAGTCAATAGTCCATTTTTTTCAGATAAGAAACATGAGTTCTAGGGATGTTGAATGACTTGCCCAAGGTCAAACATCAGAGACAGATTTTGAATCCAAGTCCTCCAACTTCAGAGTCAATTATTTTTTTTCTCTGTGCCAGATGTATCGCAACAGAGATAATGCCCTCAAATTTCATTAAACAATCAGCAGATATTTATTGAGCATTTATATTGTGCTTAGTTAGAGTAAGGGTGAGATCATATAGGGAAAGGGATGAGAATATGGGTGCTGGACTAATGGACTAAGAATACATTGATCTTCCTTCATTAAGAGCAATGAGAGATCCTTTCATCAACAATGCTATCTCAAACTATGAAGAAAGACATAGCATACATCACAAAGCTGTTACCCTTCCCAACAGCTACAAAGCTTATTTCATCATTTTTATTTCATCATGTTTATTCATCATTGTTGGGTTCTCAAAAACCTCAATTTTGAGAATTGTAGATATAGTAGTTTAACCTTTCTTTTTTGCCACAATCCTAAAAGTAAGACAAAAACTAAAAAAGTAATAAAATTTCTAAACATCCTAGTAAATTCTGAGCATTGCAGGTGTAGTTTGCCACATGGAAAAGAACTGGGCAAACCTGTTGACTTATTCGCTGTATCAGTGATGGGTGTGGGAAAGACAGCAGGGCCGCTGGTGAGTGTTGGATTGACAGATCCATTCGTGGGAGCAAAAGAGGTTGCGTGGGTTGTAAGGTGAGTGCTCTTGATTGGTGACACGCCTGAGGTAAGAAAATGAGATTGTTATATTCATTTCTCCCTCACATTGGGTCAGCTACTCAAGTGCTAAGAAATTATAAAGTGGAATTCTCCAAGGGTCCTCCATGATGTGAAAGTATCCTCATCTACAGATCTAAGAACATAGGTAGCCGAGTTCAGGTAGGTTTGAAAAAAAACTCCATACCCTCTGCTTTTCTCTTTTTACATCCCCGCTGAAGTGTTCTTTGTTATTGATGCCTCTAACTTTAGGGCCCTGAAAAAATGAGCCCATTTTTGACTTTCTGATCCTATCCCTGGGAGAGACACATCAGGAAAGGAGAATGAAAAAAGAGGGAGTCACCTGTTCTTGGCTCAGGTAGGGTACTTCATCTTCCCTGAGTATGTAATGCTGTCCCCTACATCTGACTCAGCAAACTCACAGTATAAGAGAGTCAAAAACTTCCCTCTAATGGGGTCTTTCCCTAACCTTTTGTCGATCTGACTCCCTTAAGGTCAATGTGGAACATCCTCTCCAGTGCTAAGCTTGCATAGGAATTCCCTTGGCTCCTGGTAGAAGGAACTACTTCATGGAAAGACACTTTCAGCACAATTTGCTCTCCTGAGAAAGACCCCAGATATGTTGCTTTTGGCAATAAAATGAGCCTGACCACTGGGGATGGTAAGAAAGGTAAATATACTTTATTTATATTATGTTCATGGATATATTTTGTGGTTTGGTTAAAATATGTATTATTTTATATCCATTCCCAGGGCCCAGCTTGCTCTATGAATCCACAAGAAATAGGTGTCTTTCATGATTTGAGCCAGAAATTGAAAACAAAGAAAGGTAGTCATTAACTGGAGGTTATGTCTGTCAGCTTAATTTGGCCAATAAGTGGGAGGCTAAGGTAGAGCCAGGAGATAGTATGTTCAGAACACAGTCATAGGATTTAGGGTTAGAAGGTCATTGAGAGCAATCTATTCATTTTAGGGATTCAGAAAATGAAGCACATATTCCACAGAAAAACCTTGGTCCTCTTCAGTATTATCCAAGTCATCCATGATGGTATGGATATGAGATCCCATCGGCAAATTACCCACCATAGCTCAATTTGTCCACTTCAGTGAAGAGATTCTGCCTTTCTTTTGACCAGTCCTGGACTGATATATTCTGCCCTACATTCAGATCCCTCACCATAGACCTCCAGTTTACCTGAGTATCTCACCACACTGTAATTAATCCAGATCCCCTTCTAGAAAATCTGTCTATTTGAGGTGTGGAAATGTGAAATTTTAAACAACCAGAAGACAGCTTGAGGATATTGGGTACAAGGGAGTACAAAAGGCTACCTGTAAGTAAAAGTAAAGGTAGAGAAAAGGGAAATGGGAAAGAACTGAACACATCTTTCCCTCCTTCATAACTTTGACAAGGTCTGCCAAAATCAGCTTTATCTCTTCCTGATTCATCTTCAGGTATGTGTTTACATATGATCCTCTGATCAGAAACTACCAGAATTTACCCAAAGAAAATTGTCTTTCAAGGTTCAGATTTAAATATGTAATAGGTTAAGTATTGCCTTATTATAATTTTTAATAAATTAAATTCTCTCAAAAGCCAACCTGTCACATCAGTAGCAAAACTGGCATTATTGCCAGATTCCGAGGATACACCAGTTGAAGTAATATATAAGTTAGGAGGAGGAATGGTCACTGTGGCACCATATTTTCTTTCAGAGATGCTTGCGGGTGAGAGTGAAGTAGAGAGAGTGGTTGGTGGGTCAGTTGAAAGTGGAGCATGGCCCTTTTCAGTCTTAGTTGGTCCTGCTATGTGATGGAGGGTAGAAGAAAGCAAAAAAATTACATATGGTAGACACCTTAACATGGGAACTCAGCAAAATTAAACCCCAACCTTTGATTATTTTGTTCTCTAACAGGCTGAGTGATGGATTATTAGCGAAATGAAAAACATGCTTTTCCACCATGCGTATCTACAGATATCATCATCTATTCAAAATGAATAGATAACAAAAGATCTGGCAAAAATTAGTATTTGGTTTAAAAAAAAAAGAGTTGCAAAGACAAGAAAACAGCTTCCAGTGGTAAAAAGAGGAATGGTAGGTGAAGTTAACAAAGGGCTAGAGAGAGGATTAGACTTCCAAGGCAGGAAGGCTTGGAAAAAAAGAATGGAGAGAGAGTTTAGCAACTTACACAAAGAAATTGCCAAGCACAGGTAGAATTCAACCAAATACTGATTTTGAAAAGAGTATTTGAATTCAAACAACCAATACATTTTTAAAAATGCTCAAATGGGTGACACAAATGGTTATGCAGCCTTGTCTTTTTTCTTTGACAGTTGACCCAAAGGATGTCTTTTGGGGAAAACATTGTAATTAGTCTCCGTAACATAAACCATAAAACATTAGGGGCATCCCTTTACTTCTCTTAGAAAACAATTGTGAACCTCTCACTCACAAATTTGTTTCAACTAATTAGAATTATCTTCTTTTTTCTTTCTGTAAAATCTCTCAATATGAGTTTCATAATTTACTACTTATGAAAAGTGATACATCTTTGCATTTGTAATAATAATCTCTAACTTATAATGGAATGAGAAGCCTTCAAAAAAGAAACTTTATTTAAGAGGTCAAAATCATGTGGGAAAAGAATAAGACCCAGATCATTCCTATTGCTCTGCTAGCTATAGGAGTTATACCAAACCATGGTTTCAGTAAGCTTCATTAGGGATGAGCTTAAATCTTAATAATTGTATTCAGTTATAAGGCAGTTATTCCTTCCATCTGTACAATAACCCATTGAACAATGAATATTGGGGAATAACAGCAGTACAGAGACTTTGGGACTTTATATCTTGACTCTTCCAAAAATATGAGAGCAATTAGATCACAGGATCAATAATAACTATACATCTCTATAGTACTTTATGATTACAAGGTACTTTATAGCTTAGTTGATGTGACATGACAATCTTATCCTTTAAGTAGTAACACCTCCTTTAATATTGAGGGGTATTCCTTAAAGCTCTTATAGTTCATTCAATTTGGTATCTCTTTCATATTGGCATGTGAGTAAAATCAAAGATTGAGAACAATTATTGGTTGTGGGAAGAGACGGGGAGAGGTAGAGGGAAAGGGTAAAAGGAATTGAAGAATTCGGAGAAGGAAAAATAGAGGAAAAAATGGAGTAGAGAAATGAACCAAGGAATGGGAAGAGAGATAGGAGCCTATAAATAAAACTGGGAAAAATAGAAATAAGAAGTATACAAAAATACTTTAGTTCACAAAAGCTTATATATGGAATATCACTCATCTACCCAAATCCTCTGACTTTTGTATTTACTAGTGATGAAAATCGGCATTTTGAGAATACCTGACTCAGTAATCTTAGACACGTGCGTGAACATTAAACACATAATCTTCACAAACAGGTAAAACAAATAATAGAAGAATAAAAAAAATTATCTCTTACCGCCTGTATCATTTGTGGTTTGTCCTGTAAAAGGGAAAGACAACACATCAACAGAAAAGTACATAGATTTTACATAACCTCTTAGACATTACCAACCAAGCAGGACTTTTTTAGGGTTTCACTACTGATTCCATTCCTTCTCTTAAAATCAAGTCTACATTATATATATATATACATAATTTTGTCAAAATTATACTTTATCTTTAAAAATATTCATTTCTTTATCTGTGTTCCCTATCCACACCATAAACAATAAGACAAGCCATAAAATAGAAGTCATTTTTTTGAGGTGAACAGGTGACAATTTGAGTAAAATCCTAATTCTGCTAGTGAAAACCTGTGACTTTAAGCAAGTCATTTGGTGCAGAGAGAAGAACCTAAGGACTTAGGTTCAAAACCTAGCTCTGATGCAAATTACTTAGTCTCTTTCAATCTCAGTTTCCTCACTCAGGAAATGAATGGGATAGACCAGTCGGCTTCAGAGATTTCCTTTAGTTCTAAATGTAGGACCCTATAACATATCTTGGCCTTAGTTTGTTCATCTATAAAGTTAGAGGTTCTTAACATGGGGTTTGGGAACTTGCTTTTGTTTTACTTGTGGTAATTCTAGTTAATGTAACTGGTATTATATTATTAATATAACTGGTATCTTTTGTAATCTTAGGTATTTTGTTTAATGCATTTAAAACCATTCTGAGATAGGTTCTGTAAGATTCACCACTGTCAAAGGGATTGATAAGACCAAAAAAAATTAAGAACCTCTAGGCTAGATCATATTTGAGGTTCCATCTATTTCTAAATCTTATTTATCTAATAAATTAGTACAATCCCAGTTTCAGATGGTTTTGATAGCAACTTTTGTAAAAATATCCCAAGATTTATTGAGATAAAACCTTCATGTGGCCTGGAAATGACTTTTTTCCTGAGGGGCAACTTTTTTTGAGAAGTTATTTTGTTTGAAAAGTTATATTCCCAAAGCACAATTCTGACCATATCACCACCTGCTCAAGAAATTCCAGTGACTCTCTATTATCTCTAAAATTCCTTTATTTAGTATTTAAAGTCTTTCATTCTATGGTTCATTAGGCATTACTCTCCTTCATAGACTTCCAGCCCTACTGGCCTACCTGTTCTTAGAAAACAACATCACACCAGTCTTTGCCCAGCTATCGGTCCCCATGTTTGAAATGGGTTCTCCCTTCACCTCAAAGTCTTAGAAACCTCCCGTGCCTTTAAACTCAGGTCAAATGCTGCCCCCAACATGAAGCCTTCTCAAGCTCCCCAACCCTTAGCAGCCCTTTTCATATTATCTTATACCGTTTATGGAGAGTATCCCAAAAGTCATAAGGCAGTTAAAACTATATGGGTTGCATTGACTTGCATGCTCACATTTATCCTTTTCTCTGATAAATGTAAGCCCTTTGAGGACAAGAATTGTTTCATTTTTCTGGCTTAGTATCTCCAGTGCCTAGCATAATGCCTAGCACATACACTTCTCCAAACTTGCTAAATACTATTGATTGATTGAATGATTGATCAGAGAAGAGACTACACACACTCAAAGATCATTCTGTATTACACCATGCAATAAATGACTGATTTACTGTAAATGTTCCTTAAATATGGTGGTATACAATGGCTTAAACTACATATTTTCTTCATCAGACATCAGTTCTATTGATAACACAAAACTCTTCAGTCATATTCCCTGGTTTACTCCCTGCCAAAATTATTGTCTTTTTGTGATGAAGTTTTCCTGTAATATGGCTACATAACTGTTTCATATATTAATTTTCCCATAGTCACCTCCTCTTAATTTTTGATTCTCTTTCTTAATCATTTATTATAAGATTCTTGAGAAATGTCTTCACTGAATGCCCTCTTAGCCTTTCTATCTTTACCACTTCAAATCTTTCCCACCAGCTCAGATGCCACTTCCTTTATGATGTCGTCTATGATTACCACCTCTTAGACTACAATAGAAATATTTTTCCATGACCAATAAAAATACCTATTTTTGAAAATGATCTTGGGTGTCTGAAAAAATATGTTAGGTCTTAAGGACAAATAGTTCTTCACTCAAGTCTTACAACAATGACTTATTATGGCGTTTGGGGGGTCCTTTGTTTCTGGGTATAGCTGCAGAGCATAAGACCTAGAAGGCCCCACCAAGCTGGAAAGGCATCACAACATGGACTCTGATGGGCAATAAGTGTGTGATCTAAGGAAAAGTCTACCTGAATTTAGAGAGGCTCACCCCCTAAAGGTGGGCCACCAGGATAAAACATTTTGGGGCCCCAAAAGAACTTCTACAGGCAGGCTTTCTTAGTCCTTCACAATTTTAGTGACTTCCCTCTGTTAATTATTTTCTGCATATAGCTCGTTTGTACATTTTTTTTTACTTGTTTTCTTCTTCTTTTTAGATTGTGTGCTCTTTGAAGACAGGGACTATCTTTTGTCTTTAATTGTATCCTCAACACTTAGAACAGTGCCTGGCCCCCAGTAGGTCCTTTATAAATGCTTATTGACTAAATGACTGACTTATGAAGCTCACATAGGAGGGAAAACATAGCTGAAGCTACGTAAAGGTGTTGGGTGTGGAAGCCAATGTCAGCATTCACAAAAAACTAACATAAGAATGAGGAAGGACAGGACCATCTGAAGCAAAAGCTCAACAAAACCAAAGAGAAACACTGGAGAGGTAATCTCCCCTAAAATCAAAAGAAAAAAAATTATTAAGATTTAACGAAATCGTGTATATGAAGTAAACATATATGCCAAGGAAATCATGGCTCTCTGAAGAACAGAAGTTATGTTACTAATTATTAAAATTCCTTCCATATTAACCCAATAAACCTTCTGAATCTTACTAAGAAGAAGAAAATAGTGTCTAATATTAGATAGTCAATAAACATTAGCTGCTATAGCAACAGCCTACCTAGGAAGTAGAGGGAGCTCTAATCACATGACGTCAGTAGCTTGTCATTTGACCCTGGGCCTACTACCTGACCTTTCTTTTCTTCAATTTCACCCATACAAAATGGAAAGAGCAATGTAGGCTGCTTCATCACTTTATTGCAAGAGAGAACTAATAGAAATGACTGCAGGAATGAATGTAAATGTAAATGAGTTACCATTCAAGCTCATTTACTATGGGAATGATGAGGTGGATGCTCGCAAAGTATGCGAAGGCATCTTTCAATCACACCTACAACAATTATGAATATTCTAGACAAGTGGTATCAAACTCAAGTGAGAATGGGGGCCACTCAACCATACATAAGGAAAAGGAAAGTACATATTAACATTATCCATGTTCTGTTGTGTTTTTATTTTGGTAACTATTTCCTAAATACATTTCAATCTGGTTAGGGGACTTGCATGTTTGACATGTTCTAAACTAGGAGTTCTTAATATTTTGGAATTGTCAAGCCCTTGGACAGCCTGGTGAAGCCTATGTACTCCTCATAAAAATGTTGTTGTTGTTTTTTTTTAATTCCACGAAATAAAACACATAGGATTACAAAGAAAATAGGTTACTGAAAATGAATATATTTTTTTTTTTACCCATACAAGTTCACAGACATCTTGGAATCAGGAGACTCCATTTTAAAAATTCATGCTATAGACCCTATAATACACTCAATTTGGGGGTATGACTTATTCTATTACCAACTACTATTTTATTTATCTGCTTACTTTCGCACATTTAAGAGAAGTTAGGTATGGCAGAGGATAGAGCACTGGCTCTAGAGGCAGGAAGACCTTAATTTAAATTTGGCCTCAGACGTTTACTAGGTATGTGACCCCAGGAAAATCATTTAACCCTTGCTTATCTCAGTTTCCACATCTATAAAATGGGGACAATAATAGCACCTATTTTCCAGGGTTATTGTGAGGATCAAATGAGACAATAATTGTATAATACCTCAGCATGGTGCCTGGCACATGGTAAATGTGAATGAATGTTAGCTACTATATTTGTTATTCTCCTGAAAAATAACCCACCCTGTTAGCAAATGTAGGAGAGATTGTTTTAATTTTGAGATTTCATGAGTAATATTTATTCTACAATCCATTAATATCCTAAGTCAAATCAATGAAGCTTGTAATTTGAACCTTAAATATTTTAAGTGGCCAAGGAGAAGAGCATGGGCACAGAGATGATTTATCAATTCTTATTTCACAATAGATGGCAAAATAACATCAGTCAAATATTGTCCACCTTTGGAAATATATATTCCTCTCAACTCTCACATTTAGATTGCCTTAATGTATGGTATTTGTAAAAAGAAAATTCTCTGATAAGTGATTCTGTGAGTCATCATGATTAAAAGTGTAGTTCTCATGAAGACATATGAAGAAAGAAGTTATCTGCATAGAGAGAAAGAAATGATAAATAGAAGTGTGAATAAAATAATTTTACATATATATATATATATACACATACACACACACATATATATACCTATTTGTGTCTAATGGTAGCCATCTCTAGGGTAAGGGGAGAGAAGAAAAAAAGAAAATTACATGATACCTTTATTATATATTTAAAAGGAATAGTAAGTTGTACATAATAGATTTGCAGTTTCATGTGCAATCATCTTTTTATTATACTATATTATTAAAATTATATATTAATTCCATATATTAAAAATAGAATAAATTAAATTTTTAAAAATTGTATTTCAAAGGAAATATCAAGTGATGGGCTAATATTTAAACTAGTATAGGTCTCCAAAGGATTTTGAGACTAAGTTACAGTTGCTGACTGCAAGAGCTCCATTTATGGTATAGAAAAATGATTAGGATTTAAGTGTGGACATTCAGATCACAACTGCTATTTTGGTTGTCAAGCCTACTCTGATAAAACAACATCAAAATAGGATGTTTCACCTTCCACTTATCTATCTTGGCTGTACTGTATAGGAAATAGTTTTTGTTGCTTCAAAACCAGTAGAGTCAGCATATGCTAAAGACTATGTTACAGAACTATCTTGCCTCTTCCTTCAAAAAACCTCACA